GCTCAGGGGTGGGCAGCACCTCTGGCAGAGGGTCACACAGCTGGCAGACAGCAAGAGTGGGATTCAAAAGCACTCATCTGACTCCGCTGTGTCATTCAATTCAATTGGATTTGATAGACAGGCCTTTATGGAGTGTAACAGTGCCAAATCCCATCCCAGCGCCTGGGGATAGAGACAGTATTAGGGGAACCGGCACACGATGCACTCATGCACGCAAGACACACACACAAGTTTCCAGGGCCACTTGGAGCAGGTCCTCTCTGCCCTTTTCCCTCCAGGTTTCAGAGGGGGGAGGCAGACAGGGAGGAGGGGGAGGTGCTGAATTGCTCACATCCCAGTCTTAAAACCTTCACACTTGTGACTTAGACCCCCAGATGGTCCCTTTCAAGGACTGAGCTCTATCTCCCTTTAAAAGAGGGAGAGAGTAGGGAAGAGAAAAACACATTTTGTTCTGATGCCTCAAGATGTCATTTGGGGACAGTTTGTCTCTTTTCCTCCCTATCTCTGTCCCCCCACTCCCCATCCCCACCCCAGGCTGGTCCTGAGACCACAGATAGCATCACCTCCACCCCATCCTTCCCCACATGGCTCCATTACCCCACTGAGCTTTCCAAAATCTTGATGTCCAGTGCTGAGTCACTAGGCTGGGGTGGGTGTGACACAGGAGACAGTTTTTTTTTCTCTGTGACAGTGAGGGGGTTGGGAGAGAAGCCAGGGGTCCTTTGCTAGACCAGGACTCAGATCTGATCTACTTCACTGCCTCCTCCTTTTGCTGAGAAGGTCAGCTTGTTCTTGGATCAGAAACTCCATGAGACTGAGACCTTGTCTGTCTGGTTCAGAGGTTTACAGGCTTTTTAAATGAAACCGCCATTGGCCCTTGACACACTTACTTTTGGAGGCCCCACCCAAATCACATGAAACATATTAAAATGCACTCTGATTCCACACTGAATGTCATTTTATGGTAATTTTTTTTTCTTTTTTTTTTTGCGGTACGCGGGCCTCTCACTGTTGTGGCCCCTCCCGTTGTGGAGCACAGGCTCCGGATGCGCAGGCTCAGCGGCCATGGCTCACGGGCCCAGCCGCTCCGCGGCATGTGGGATCTTCCCGGACCGGGGCACGAACCCGTGTCCCCTGCATCAGCAGGCGGACTCTCAACCACTGCACCACCAGGGAAGCCCTATGGTAAATTTTTAAAAAGGGTTTTCAATTAATTATGATTGTGAAATTATTCAACTACAGTTAATGTGTTTAAATTAAAATGGACTCTCATTTCTTGAAAAGCACTCTGCATACTTGGGAATTCTTTGAAATGAGAACATCTAAACCAACAAATTGCTTTCAAATGTAATGAAGTGTTCATGAGTTCCAGTTTTCCAGTTAATGAACTTGCTGTAAGATTACATTTGGTCAACATTAAATTACATCATTTTAGGTTCAATTTTCTGGTCTTTAAAAAATATTTTCAAGCCAATACATTCCCCACCCCACCAGGTCTCAAACCCTTTCTGTAGGACCTTGAAAATTCCCCAGGTCCCAGACACTTTGCCTATGTGGCTGTAAAAATGAACAGCCTGGTGTACAGTGGCTTCTTAAACACTGTTGAAGAGAGGTAAGGGAAAGAGAAATTCAACGGTTTGGAAACAGGAGAAAAAACAAAAAGCTAACACCCTTCGTAATTAAAAGTGTAAATTAAAATGAGGTAATATTTTTCAGACTGGCAAAACCCAAAAAGTGTCTTTTGGTATCATCTGGTATAACTTTTTAGAGGACTTTTGGATGATATCTATCCAAATGCAAAGTACATAACCCCTTTGCCCCAGAAACTACTCTTCAAGGAATCTAGGCTTCTATAAATGTACAAAGATCCATGGAGAAAGACTTTCATGGCCATGGACAACTGGGAACAGACTAGATGTCGACCAGTTAGGACTGACCTAAATGGTTGGACATCCCCACACTGGAATAGTACACGGTTGTGGGAGAGTGTGTTGATATGGACCAAATACCTCACTACAGTGCTAAGTGAAGAAAAAAAAAATCAAGGTGCAGCACAATGTGTAATGCATTATTGCTTTTGTGAAAAAGGAAAACAATACACATGCACACACATGTATTTATATTTATATTTATACACTAGGAACTGCCTGGAAAGAATTGGAAGGAGACTTAGAAACTGGGAAGAATGGTTGTCTCTGAGAGGGAGACTGGGGGGTAGAGGAGAATCACTTCTTGCTTTTGCTACTGTTTTAAACCATCAGTACACATCTCTTTTTTCATGAAAAAAAAAATCTAGTTAACAAACAGCAAATGCCTGTGGAATAAAAGAAGTAAAATGAATGAATGAATGAGTCCTAAGTACCACATGGAGGAGGGAATTGCTGCAAGGGGCTCCCACCACCCCATGGAGGAGACCCACAGAAAATGCAGAAAGCTCAACAGCCCATTTGACTGTGGGAGGAGGGGAGGGGAGGATTCTGGAGGCTTCCTCCAGGAGGGCCTGAAGGATGCAGAAGGCTGGGCAGCGGGGAAGGAGTGGTGGGGGAAGGTTGGTGGGGTCTTGTGGGGAGACTGCTTCTCCATCCTTGTCCCTAGAGTGTACATTCTATTTCAAGCCTGGAAAGTCCCAGCTCCTAGCAGGATGCCTGGCATATAATCTGTGGCAATAAATAGTGGTTGACTGAATGGATGGAATCAGTCACTGGTTAATCCGGGCTACAGTGTTAGTCACTCCTGTCCCCTCTCTAAACACCTCCCCACCGCCGAACAGCAACAACAAATGACTTTCTCAGCGCTGCTGTGTACAGCTGTGCAGTGAGTCCACTGCACAACTCCAGGAGGTACCATTTTCATAGACTGGCATGTAAGTGACGCCTCCTGAAATTGTGGGACATGGGGCACCTGTGAAGCAGTTTCTTCTTTCAAGCTTAGGGGAACCAAAGTCACATTGAGAGTGAGAGGGGTCAGGGAAGGGACTCTCCCAATCCAGACACTGCAGGCCTGCCCCTCCCTGTTCCTTTCTAGTTCCTAAGGCCTCTTCCTTTGATCCTCTCTAACCTGGACTTGAGGTGACTTAGCCAAATCTGACCAATTACTCTGTTCCTGGTCTACAGAGTTGAGGACTTGCAGTATGATTTTGGGCAAGCCCCAGAACTTCTTTGGGTCTCAGTTTCCCCATCTAAGAAATGAATAAATGTGTAGGGAGCAATTCTTTTTTCTTTTTTTAAGATTATTGAAGTATAGTTGATTTACAGTATTGTGTTAGTTTCAGGTGTACAGCAAAGTGATTCAGTTATATATATATATATATATATATATATATATATACTTTTTTCAGATTCTTTTCCATTATGGGTTATTATAAGATATAGAATGTAGTTCCCTGTACTATACAGTAAATCCTTGTTGTTTATCTATTTTATGTATAGTAGGGGAACAATTCTTGATGGGACCTTACAGGGATAAAAGGTTGAAGGACTGCATCCTTACAGGACGTGGCATTCTCGGAGGGGACAAATCCCCCCATCCTGCCCAGTTCTGACTGGCCCCTCATGCCCTTGGACCCTCAGCTGAGTTCAGGGGGCAGCATCCTGGAATGGAAGGAACCTGTGTGGGGAAAAGGAGATCTGGTCTGATAGTAACCTGACTCTGATTATAACCGCTGTGGTATGCTACTGAGCCAGCCATAGCTCTGCCTGGGCCTCAGTTCAGGTCTCTGTAGAGTTTATTACGTCTCTGTAAATTTAGATACTTAGGATACTTAGGTCAGATCAGTGAGTGTCAAATGTTAGACTGAGCCTTTTCTTTTTCTCTTTAACTTCTATAATTTATTTTTAATAAATTTATTTATTTATTATTTATTTATTTTTGGCTGCATTGGGTCTTCATTGCTGCACACAGGCTTTCTCTAGTTGTGGCGAGCGGGGGCTACTCTTTGTTGCAGTGCACGGGCTTCTCATTGCAGTGGCTTCTCTTGTTGTGGATCATGGGCTCTAGGCACGTGGGCTTCAGTAGTTGTGGCACGTGGGCTCGGTAGTTGTGGCTCGAGGGCTCTAGAGCACAGGCTCAGTAGTTGTGGTGCACGGGCTTAGTTGCTCTGCGACATGTGGGATCTTCCCGGAGCAGGGATCGAACCTGTGTCCCCTGCATTGGCAGGCGGACTCTTAACCACTGTGCCACCAGGGAAGTCCCAACTTCTATAATTTTTGTTTTACTCTTTCTGATTACAAACATCACATATGTTCATGAAAGTTCAGACAGTACCAAAAAAGTCATGTACCAAGTGAAATCCAACCCTTATTGAGAATCACTGCTAACGTTTTGGGGGTGGGGTGGGGCATAACTTTTAATTCTGATATAATTTCAAATTTACAGAAAAAGTGGCAAGAATAGTATGAAGACTCTGGTATAGTTTTTACTCAGATTTATCAATTATATACATATTGTCCCTTTTGCTTTATTTCTCTTTCTCTGTATACACGTGTATGTGTGTGACTGTGTATGTGTGTATAATTTCTTCCCAAACTGTTTGAGCATAAGTTGAGACAGGTGCCCTTTTACCTCTAAATGCTTCAGGGTATATTTCCTAAGAACAAGAACGTTCTCTTACCACGTAAGACTTACAAAACCCCTGCAGTTAACAAAATCAGGAAACATCATTGATACAGTACCATTACATAGTCTACAGTCTATGTTCAAAGTCAGTTGTGTCATGACCTTTACATAGACTTACTGTGAAAGCAGAAAAATCCGGATGATATACTGAGGTTTCCTTAAAGCTAACATATATTTAATTTTAAGGATTGTGCTTACTGTATTCTCAAATTGCCCTCTCCCCTCTCCTGCTTTTTGTTTGTGTGTTTGTCTCTTTGGTGTTTAAGATGTCCCCGTTTTTCTAAAATGATGGTGAGAGTAGAACGTGGTTTATTTATTTGCTTTTGAAATTCTTGGCAAAACAAAAAGTGGGTGAACCTATGTTAGTCTTCAAACTTCTTTTGCAGGGATTCCCAGGGTATGGTTCCCCAGTGCCAGTGCTCTCTGATTCCAGGTGAGTCAGACCACCATAGACTTTCCTGAAGCCTATTTGAGAGCATTTTCCTAATACTGGGAGTGGAGGACGGGACAGGCAAATGGTATCTCACCCAGCAGAGTGCACCTTTATCCTTTCCATGGCTCTCCAGCATCTGTTTGGAGCATCCCCTACCTTGTGAGACTTCCAGGGAGGCAGAGCCCTCCTCCTGCTCTCCTAGAAACCAGACCTCACTTTCCCAGCCTCCTTTGCAGTTGCAGTGCAGGCATGTGACCTGGCTCAGCCAATCAGATGCAACCACCTAGGAACTCTGACTCTTAAGCAGGTGATACAAAGGAGTAGAGATGGGATGTATCTGACAGAATTGGCGACAGCAGCAGGAAGAGTTTTCAGAGGCAGTGGAGCCTCAGGGCCAGTTGCACTGCTGTCTTCCCTGGTCTCACCCTGAGATGTGATTTGGGCTGGGGTTCTGGCTGTGATCTGGTGCTCCTTGGTTCCTGAGCCAGCCCGAGGAGCCTGTCAGTGTTCTGTTGCTTGCAACCAAGAACCCTGACCGATAAATACAGAGAAGTGAGTATTACGGGAATGGAGAGGGGCTGGGGCCTGAAGCGTGGACATGTCAGGACTTGGTGAGTAGTGATTCCATGGGGTGGGCAGCCACAGAGAAATCCAGTTTCCTCATCTGGAATGTGGATGGGACATCTAGGTGCTATGTGGGATAGCCCGTACAGGAAGTGCTGCGGGTGAGGGGTAGGAGGGATATGAGAGGAGAGATCCTGGAGCCTGAGGATGAGGCTGGGAGGAGGGAGATGAGCTCAAGGAAGAGTGGGGGGGTGGGCTTTGTAGGAGGAGACAGCCAATCTGGGTCACATGGCTCCTTCTGCCCCAAATAGTTTTTGACCCTTTTCTATGCACCAGGCAGCATATTGGTCAATAAAACAGTTTGGGGATGGGTATTTTTATCCTCATCTTACACATAAAAGGTGATACAGAGAGATGAAACAGCTTGTACAAGATCAGAAAAGCAGAAAGGGACTGAGCCAAAATTGAAGTCTGGGTCTAACTCTTACACTGATGCCTTTTTTTTATTTTTTAAATTTGGCCACACCACGCGGCTTGTGGGATCTTAGTTCCTGGACCAGGGATCGAACCTGGGCCCCCTGCAGTGGAAGCATGGAGTCCTAACCACTGGACCACCAGGGAATTCCCTACACTGATGCTCTTAAGAACCTAAACAGGGGAAAACGGAAAAAAAAACAAACAAACCCTAAACAGATGCTCAGATGAGGGAACAAAGTCTCTGCCTCAGTCCCTGAGTTTTTATATACTTCCAGTGAGTACTTTAAGTAGAATGCGGTATACTCGCTTAAGTACTTTGTGAGGCAATATAATTGAGTAACAGAATCTAGGGACCCAGCTCACTTTGTGAATACCAGTTCTCCTCCTCTTCCCCTACTTGTAAAAAAGTTGGGTCCCATTGAATGAGCTCCAGCACACACAGTTGGTTGCCTACCCAATGGGCCTTCTCTCTCCCACTCCCCTCCCCTCCCCACCCGCTGAGCCTATGTTGGTTTTCGGTGTTGGTGCTTCTCCTTCCGGGCTCAGAGTTAGTACTGTGGCATTAATAGTGGCATTATGCCCCTTGCTTGTGATAGATTCAGGCATGGGATGTGACTCAACTCTGGCCAATACACGGTGAAGAGCAGTCTTCTGGGGACTTCTGAAAAAAATTTTCCTTGATCTTAAAATGGGACACAAGAATGAGATGTTTCCTGGGGTTTTGTTTTGTTTTTGTTTTTGTTTTTTGATGCTGTGGACATTGTGTGACAATGTGATGTCTGGGTGGGAGCAACCATCTTGTGACTGTCAGGTGAGCTAGCCAAGGACAAGGCAACACGCTGAGAATGGCAGAGGGGAAGGAAAAGAGGAAATAATCTGGGTCATGGATGATGGTGTTGAGCTGCAGGATTAACCTCTCCTGAAGTTACCACTCCTCCGGACTTCTTTTTTTTTTTTTTTTTTTTTTGCGGTACACGGGCCTCTCACTGTTGTGGCCTCTCCCGTTGCGGAGCACAGGCTCCGGACGCGCAGGCTCAGCAGCCATGGCTCACGGGCCCAGCCGCTCCGCGGCATGTGGGATCTTCCCAGACCGGGGCACGAACCGGCGTCCCCTGCATCGGCAGGCGGACTCTCAACCACTGTGCCACCAGGGAAGCCCCGGACTTCTTGTTCTATGAGATAATACACTTTCCTTAACTGTCTAAGCTAACTGAATAGAAGTTCTCTGTTTCTGGCCACTGAAAACATCTTTACTGATGTATGAGCCATGGGATCAAAAGAATAAACACCCAACATACTAATTTGATATGCTAATAGCTGACAGCTATGACAACAGCATTGGCTAAATGAGGAAAACCTGTTTCCTTGACCAAGCGAGGCCCTGAGAAGTCCTTTCTCTGCTCGTTCAGAGGGGAGAGAGTGTGGCAGCCTGAGGCCCTGCACTCTGCATCTTGTCCAGGCATGTAGGAGGCCTCCTATCAGAGGAGAGGTCCACTCCTGGCCAGCCGGACTTCTGACTCCCATTTCCTGTAGGGTCAGCAGAGGAAAGCAGCTTTATTTACTGAGGCAGGATGGAAAACAGATGTCTAAGCACCCCGCTGGGCCCAGGCTCACCCTGGACAGAGGCCCGGCCTGTTCTCAGCCCTGACCCACCCACCAACCCCTTGTTCCCCACATCGAGTCCAGATGTGGCTTCTTCCAAGCTCTATAATAATTTTGGTTTGTTGCACCTAAGTAACCTACGCCCCCTCTAGCTCAACCCTCAATTCTCCAAAGAGAATAGGAGTAACACTATGAAACATTTGTAAGGAAGGCGGGGTGGGGCAGAGAGGAATGTTGACTTGAGAAGCAGGGCAACGTGGGTTCAACCACAGCCTGGTCTCATGTTAACTGTGTGATTTCAACCATTGTATCAGTCATCAATTGCTGTGTAACAAGCCACCACAAAACTCAGTGGCTCAAAAACAGCAACTGTTTATTTACTCATGGATCTAAAGTTTGGGCAGGGCTTGGTGGGACAGACAGCTCATGTATTCTCCATGTTGCGTCGTGTTAGGTGAGTGAAGTCCGATGGGACCATGGGGCACGTGTGTAAGACATCAGCGTGATTTGTGTGACCACCCTGCTCCTTGCTTCCCTGTCCCCACGTAGATAGTTCCTTTTCCTCTCAGTCCTTCCTTCCTCATCAGCAAGCTGAAGGCAGAGAGCATTGGCAGAATGTGTGCATATCAAGAAGAGAAGCTCTTCCCACAGGCGGCCTGAAGTCATCTCGGAAAATGGTTCACTATTCACTTGACCCAGAAACCCCCACAAAATCATGTAAATCAAGAGGTTCAAATCTTCTTGTTCATTTTAAGAACATCTGTGAAACTGCCCAGGCTATCAGGGATCTGAAGGATGTCACTCTTCAGAATCAGTACGTGCCACTCCGTCGTTACAGCGGTGGGGTTGGTAGGTCTGCCCCAGCCAAACAGCGGGGCTGGATGCAGGGTCAGTGGCCCAAAGAGAGTGCTGAATTTTTGCTGCACGTGCTTGAAAATGCAGAGAGCACTGCTCTGTTGAAGGGTTTAGATGTAGATTTTTGGGTCATTGAGCGCATCCCGGTGAACAAAAGCCCCAAGATGCCCCGGCTGAACTCGCAGAGCTTCTGGTTTGATGAACCCCACGTGAGCTCACCCGTGAGCTCACATCGAGATGATTGTTATTGAAAATGAGCACATTGTTCCTAAAACAGAAGAGGAGGTGGAAAAGAAGAAAAAGATATACCGGACGAAATTGAAGAAGCAAAACTTACGGCCTGGGAATAAGTTCAGCATAAAATAAATGCAAATAAAAGTAAAAGCAGAAAAAAAGAGAAATAAAAATTGAGTCAGTTTTGTGCAATATTTTGTGCAGTGTTTCCACTGTTCTGGTAAGAGTGAAATACATGTGCATATCTGAGCTATGAAGTAGGAATTGCATAATTTTGATGATTTCACATGGGAGTTAAATGCTCTCATATTTGCATTTAAAAGTGGCACTGAGGGACTCCCCTGGTGGTCCAGTAGTTAAGAATCTGCCTTCCAATGCAGGGGACCTGGTTCGATTGGGGAACTAAGATCCCACGTGCTGCGAGGCAGCTAAGCCCACGCACTCTAGAGCCCGTACGCCGCAATGAAAGATCCCGCATGCCGCAACTAACACCCGATGCAACCAAATAAATAAATATTAAAAAAAATAAAAAATAAAACTGGCATTGAATACAGTAAGTTCCCTACACACGAACGAGTTCCATTCCGAGAGCATGTTCGTAAGTACAATTTGTTAAGTCCAACAAAGTTAGCCTAGGTACCCAGCTAACACAATTGGCTTGAATATACCCCCTATACGTGCTGTAAGGTAATAGGTTTATAATACTTTTCACACAAATAATACATAAAAAACAAGCACAAAAAATAAAAAAGAAAACATTTTTAATCTTACAGTACAGTACCTTGCAAAGTATAGTAATACATTACAACAGCAGGCATCCAGGGGCTGGCATCGAGTGAACAGGCAAGAAGAGTTACTGACTGGAGGAGGGAGAGGGGGTGGGAGATGGTAGAGCTGAAGGATCATGGGCAATAGGAGACGGAGGGCAAGCTGCAATTTCACTCACGCCTGACATTGATGGAACGCACGTTCGCATCTTTGAAAGTTCGCAACTTGAAGGTTCGTTCGTATGTAGGGGACTTATTGTAACATAAAGTTGAACAGTAAAATTCATGCTAATATTTAAATCTTTTCTTAGAACAACATTAAGCAGCAAAAAATGATGAGGGAAACTATGGAAGAAAAGAGAGCTTTATATTTTATTATTATTATTTTTTAATGGAAATGCATTTATTTATTTTATTTTACTTTTGGCTGTGTTGGGTCTTCGTTTCTGTGCAAGGGCTTTCTCTAGTTGCGGCAAGCGGGGGGCCACTCTTCATCGCGGTGCGCGGGCCTCTCACCATCGCGGACTCTCTTGCTGCGGAGCACAGGCTCCAGACGCGCAGGCTCAGTAGTTGTGGCTCATGGGCCCAGTTGCTCCGCGGCATGTGGGATCTTCCCAGACCAAACCTCGAACCCGTGTCCCCTGCATTAGCAGGCAGATTCTCAACCACTGCACCACCAGGGAAGCCCAGCTTTATATTTTAGTACCAATAACAACATTTTGTCCTGCTTTTTGAACAAGGGGACCCACATTTTCATCTTCTTTGGACCCTGCAAATTATGTAGCTGGCCCAGGGGCCGGTTCTCTTAAGGCCTAGACCAAAACTGACACAGCAGAACTTTTGCCACATTCTGTTGGTCAAAGCAAGTCACAAGACCAGCCTGGAGTCAAGGGGGAAGGGAAACAGACTCCAAGTCTTGAAGAGAGGGGCAGCATTCGATAACAGAGATGGGAGGAATTATTGGTGACCATCTTTGAGGCCATAGGTGTTAACCTTTCTGATCCTCAGGCTTATTATCTGTAAAATGGGAACAATTCTATTAATATTTACTTCCCGGGGTTGTTTGAGAATAAAGGAATATTTATTGTGGTTATAGTTCCTGGAACATGGCGATGGCTCACTCAGGGTTGGTCCTTCCTGTTCTTTAATCTTGCTTTATAGATGCTTACCTATTTGCTATTTCATTCATTCATGCATTCATTCACTCACTCAGTATTTATTGAGTCCTATGATCCAGGTACTGCTCTAGGAGTAGTAGAGAATAAAACATATATTCTAGCAGAGAATAAAACAGACAGAAGTCTCTGCCCCTTGGATTTTACACTTTGATATGAGAGACAGACAAAACGTATTATCAAATAAGTGGCATGTTCAGTGGGGAAAGATGCTAAGAAGAAGAAAAAGCAGGGGAGGGGGATAGAGAGTGCTGAGCTGGGGGCTGCAGCGTTAGCTGGTGTGGCCAGGAAGGCCTCGCTAAGAGGAGGTCATTTGAGTAACTCCTGAAGGCAGGGTCCTGAGGACATGCCAGGCAGAGGGGAAAGGCCAGAACAAAGGCTCTGAGAGGGGATGTCTGGGTGTCTGTCGAGCAGTGAGGGCCCAGGGAAGCTGGAGTTGAGAGCAAGAAGGGAGGTAAGGGAGGGGAGGGCAGTTCCCCACGGACCATTGTAAGGACTTTGCCTTTTACTGTGGATGAGATGAAAACATACTGGCAGGTTCGGAGGGGAGGATCAGTAGCTTCAGGTGGACCACAGGCTGCGTCAGGAAGTAGGAGAGGAGGGAGGGAGGCCAGTGGGTGGTGGCCTGGCCAGGGTGGTCACCTGGAGGTGAGAGAAGTGGTCGGACTCTGAACAGTTTTTTGGAGGCTGAGCAGACAGGATTTACCTGTCGATTCACAGTCAAGCAATTTGGCATGGAAAGCAGGTGTTATCAGAAGAGAGAAATCAAACCTTGGAGAGGCTGAGTGACTTCACAATGTCACATGGTGGCTGAACAGTGTCTCTCGCAGCAGGAAGGCTGAAGGACGTGGGTGGCTGTGTGCCGCCTGCATGTGGCTGTGGCTATGACGCACCTTTCTCTGAGTCTCCGTATCTGTCACCCCATCTCCCTCTGTTCCCCCCACCACTTTCCATCTTCCTTTCTCCTTATGCTTTGCAGTCACATCTTCATCTTCTCCCAGGCCCGTTTCCAAGGGGCCTAGGTGCTTCTGATGCCCAGGGGAGCCAATCTCTGTCTCTGAGAGTGTGTAACTCTGTGTGTGCCTCCTGTCGTGCTGGCATGCCTTACCAAGTGTGAGTGTCCCTAGTGCATGTGTGTATGAGCGTAACTTAGGCTGTGTGTGAGGAGTACATGGATGTCCCTGGCTGTAAGAACCTATGCGTGTTGGGGGGGGGGGGTGCTTAAGGGACTGAGTATGTGTGTGACATGTGTGTGCCAGTGTGTGAATGCACAGAGATGTCCTCTCTCCTCTCTACCCATTCAGATTTGCTCTCATCCTGAAAGGCCCAGGTCAAGGGACTTCCCTGGTGGCGCAGTGGTTAAGAAGCCGCCTGCCAATGCAGGAGACATGCGTTTGAGCCCTGGTCTGGGAAGACCCCACAGGCCGCGGAGCAACTAAGCCCGTGCACCACAACTACTGAGCCTGTGTGCCAAAACTACCAAAGCCCGTGGGCCTAGAGCCCCTGCTCTGCAACAAGAGAAGCCACCGCAATGAGAAGCCCACGCACCACAACGAAGAGTAGCCCCTGCTCGCCACAACTACAGAAAGCCTGCGCACAGCAGCAACGAAGACCCAACGCAGCCATAAATAAATAAATAAACTGTAAAAAAAAAAATAAAAGAGCGAGAGCTAAAAGGCCCAGGTCAAGCCTCCTCCCTTTTTTCTAGTTCCTGACCTCCCACTGCTCCATCTGTCAGAGTCACACACTGGGCTGGCCCCCCTTCCTTTGCTGGTGGCCTGGGTGGTTGGCAGGGGATCCGTCTTCTAGAATGCCAGCTCCCACAGCTGCAGTGCAGGGTGGAGCTGCACGCACATCCCCATCCCCTGGTCAAACATCAGCCTCCATCTTCTGGGGTCAACTGCCCCTCCCTCCTCCTCCCTATGGGATGCTTGAATGGGGGGAGGGGCGCTGACCTTAGAAGGGTCTGGCAGCCCCAGCAGGCAGAGACAGGTGGGGTCAGGCTCCCTTCACCCTGTGGGTACTTTCAGGCGGCCAGCTGACCCCCAGCGAGCAGGGTGCAACTCCACACTGCACTCTCTCAGTGAGCTCCTAAAGGCAGGCTTGTTGGGGTCCTGGGACCCCCGGGACTTCTTCCTCCCTCCCCCACCCTCCCCCTAGAGGCCCCCAGCCTAGGGCCTCCTCCCTGAGCTCAGGCCCCAGAGCGGCCATAGACTTCTTCTGGTCTAAACCCCTTTTCCCTCTCTGTCCCCTACTTCCCGTGAAATTGGTTCCTTCGGGAGCCCTTTAGCCTTTCCTGTAGGTACCAGAAGGTCCTTTTTCTTTAACCCATTGGAAATCAGGCCCTCGCTTTGAGCGAGGTGAGAAGATGCCAGGAGGAGTGGGGCCGTGTCAGTCCACCCGCCCAGGTCAGTTTGTCCTTCCCTCAGTCCTGGCCAGGCACGCTTCTGCCCCAGGGCTTTTGCTCTAGCTATTTCCTCCATCTGGAATGTTTTCTCCCAGACCCTGCTTGGCTCCTTCCTCTCCAAGCTTTTGTTGAAATATCACCTTCTCAGTGGGACCTAGATGGACCACCAGTTTCATACTGTGACCTGTGTGCACATGGACACACCCCGCCTCTTCACACACACAACCCCTCTTGCCCACCCAGCACCCTTCACCTCCCAGCCCTGCTCCATCTCCTCTTTTTCCCCATAGCACCCACCACCTACTTATATACCTTATTTTATTTATTCCATCTACTATGTCTCCCCAACAAGAATGTTGGCACCATGAGGGCACGGATCTTTTTTTTTTTTTTTAATATATTTATTTATTTATTTATTTTTGGCTGTGTTGGGTCCTTGTTGCTGCGTGCCGGCTTTCTCTAGTTGCGGCGAGCAGGGACTACTCTTTTGCTGCTGTGTGCGGGCTTCTCATTATGATGGCTTCTCTTGTTGCGGAGCACGGGCTCTAAGTGCACGGGTTTCAGTACTTGTGGCACGCGGGCTCAGTAGCTGTGGCTTGTGGGCTCTAGAGCACAGGCTCAGTAGTTGTGGCACACGGGCTTAGTTGCTCCGCGGCATGTGGGATCTTCGCGGACCAGGGCTCGAACCCGTGTCCCCTGCATTGGCAGGCGGATTCTTAACCCCTGCGCCACCAGGGAAGTCCCCAGGGTAGGGAATCTTTGTTTTGCTCATGGATGTTTCCCAAGTGCCTGGAACTGTGTCGGACCATTTTAGATGCTCCACAGACATTTGCACGGTTGCTGTTGGGACAGTTGCCCAGAGGAGAGCACCTGGGAGACAAGGCTGGTCCTCGAAGGGGCTGGGCGAGGGGGCGGATGCTGGACCTCTGGACCTGTGGCCAGAGGGGATGGACTCTGTGCCCTGCCTCCCAGAGGGGGCTCCAGCTCTCTTCCACCCCTCCTACCCACCTCCCTGGAACAACACCCCCATGCCAGCCCTGCACACACATGTTGGGGCACACCTGCATCTGTGGCCCCGCCTCCCCCCACCTAGCCCTGGTGCACGCACCACTGACGTAGTGGCTGTGGTTTCATGACCCCAGAGATGCAGACTGGAGTCAGGGCGTCCTGTTCTCTGCGGCTGCAGCAGCAGGTGGGGGTGGGGGACAGGTTCCCCTGCAAACAGTCACGCTCAGAGGCCCCTTCTCCCCCGCCTCTTATACACACATGCACACGCATATGCATACAGGCAGATGGACAGCCAGGTGGCCCCAGCAAGCTGGCTGCTCTTAGACCCCAGGCATGGGAACTGTGCACCCATCTGTAGCAGGGGCCCTGCGGGTGGGGAGAAGGGGCAGAGGAAGCAGATGCGGGCTCCCTTTCTCATGCCTGAGCTCCCACCTTTACTGTTTCGTGCCCAGCACAGGGCCAGCCAACCTCCTCATCAGTTCTTTCCTTTGGGGAAGGCATTGCCCTGCTTTGTCCTGTCAAAAACACATCCCCGTGGGAGGCGCCCTGCATTCAGCCCTCAGTGGGCTTGAGTTTGTCTGCCCTTGTAGTCTGTTGTGTATGCACGGACTGGCCAGTCCTGGGAACACTCTGGCCCCTGGCTCAGAACCCTGCCGTGGCTCCCCAGTGCCTGCCAGGTCCAGCCCAAACCCCTGGCCCCGGGCCTTCCCTGCTCTAGGAATCTCCACTTTGAGGGGAGGTGAGTGTGGCCTCTGGAACCAGGCACGCTGGGTTGAATGCTGGCTCTGTATGACCTTAGGCAAGTCACTTAACTTCCCTGTGCCCTAATTTTCTCCCTCGCAGAGCAGTTGTGAGAATTATATAGGTTCATATACGCACAGTGCTTAGCGCAGCACCTGCTGTGCAGGAAAGTTGTCAATAAATGTTAACTGTCACTGTTATTGTTTCCTTCCAGGAGCCAGGAGGGACCTGAGATATGGCCTCCGTCCCATCAGGGCTTTCAGCTCAGCTCTGACCTTCCAGAGTGAGCCAGCATCTTCCAGGCCACCTGGGAGCTTGTTGGAGGCTCAGAGCATCAGGCCCCCCTGGGGATCCTAAAGCAGAAGTGGGTGGCAGGAGGGGCCTACAGCCCTCTGTGGGACAAGAGTCCGCCGAGCCCCCATCCCAGCCTTAGACTAGTCCACCACGTCCGCCCGCCCTCTTCCCCCTGCCTCTCCCAGTCCCCTCTGTCTTGCAAGGCTCCTGTCAGCAGTCTCCTGCAGGAAGAACGCCTGTCAGCCCTGTGACCTGAGCGCCCACAGCTCCTACTTCTCGGAGCCTCAGTTTCCTCAAGTAAGAAAGGGGATAAAAACACCCACATCGTGGAATTCATGTCCAGGGAGGTCATGGATGAGCAGTGCACGGCCGAGGCAGACAGCGAGGGCTGACTATCATTACTGCCTGCACCCCATGCCTGGCGGGTCCTGCCCTCTGTGCTGGGGTCCCCGCGGGGATGAGGGAAAGACCTGTTGACCGGGGGGCTGGGGTGAACCCTGGGAGCTGAGAGGCAGCACACGATGACTAGAGCTGGAGGGTAGCCAGGGCTCACCCAAAACAGCCTGATGAGGGAGGAAGGAAGGGAGGGCAAGCCGAGCACACCCTGGGCCCCAGAGGAAGTTGAAAGCCGGCTGCGGTGTGACAGTTCAGGGGCCCGCACCACAGCGCTGCACCCCACCCCTACCTGCTGACATCAGTGGGGGGTGCAGGACCCCAGCACGGCCCCCTCCCCCAGGCTCTGAGCCTGTGAGGCAGGATCCCAGCCTGGGGGCTCCCTCGGCTGTTCCCTGCACGCGCCCGAGCAGATGGCAAAGCCTTGTGTCTTTAGGTCAGCGTTGCCTCTCCAGGCTCCTTTAATGAAAGGCAACCGTTTAACGGCACCTCCTCACGTCACCCCATCGCCTCACTTCTCCCAGGTGTGGCCCTAGAGTCTATTAAGCATCTACTATATACCAGGTGGTGACACATCCACAAGCTCATTTAATCCTTCACAATACCCTTAGGAAGGCATTTAACAGATAAGGAAACCAGCTCAGAGAGGCTAAGTAACCTGCCTGAGGTCACACAGCTTGTAGGTGGCCAAGCTGGCCTTCCAATGCAGGCCCCATCCTGAAGTTCCTCATGCCTATGGGTGGGTGGATTCACCCTGGAGGAGCCCTCAGAGAGCCAGTGCATCTAGGTCTCTTGTTTGTCAAGGAGGAAATGGACACCCAGTACCAGATGCCAGTGCCCCAGGCCATGCCACAGGCTTCTGAAAGAACCAGGCAGGATTAAAGAACTTTCTTTTGGCATTGGAGGCCTGGCAGGAGGGGCTCTGCTGGGAAAGCTCCTTCCTTTACTGACACCAGGTCTCCACTCAGAGGCTACCTCCTCAGAGAGAAGCCTTTCTGGACAGTCCCGGCAGAAGGAGAGCTCTATTACCCTCCATCTTCTAACCTGTCTTTATTTTTCTTCATGGCACGCACAGTCACTTGCAGTTTTATGTATCAAATTATTTATTATCTCCCCACCGCCACCCCAACTGGAATGTGAGCTCTGTGAGTCAGGGAGAGTCTGTCTTGTTCCCTTGCCTAGAATAGTACCTGGCACAAACTCAACAATTTTTTGTGGAATGAATGAATGAATGAATGAATGAAAGGAGTCAGGTGGTAAAGGAAGAAGTTTATGCTTACAGGGGAAAGTTTGCTCTGAAGATAGACTTATTAAGGGCAAGCTAAATAGACCAATCTAGGTGGAGGAGGGGAACAAGAAGTATGTTAGAAAAGGGAAGGGGCCACGTACAGCCATGTGGTCTGGCACAGAGACTATAAAGTGAATGGTGCCCCTGCCACTTGTACAGTTCTCAACTTGTACAACAGTGCATGGCGCCCCCGGGGAGGGGGGAGAACCCAACAGTTTTGGCCCCCTCAGCAGCGATGAGTGGAGGCAGCTCTACAAGTACCAGCGGCTGGAGGAACGGGCTGTTCCCTCCACGAGAATGCCACGTGGTCGTGGTTAGCAGTGTGCCATCCGGTGACGGTGGCTCTGTCGCCACAGACGGTCGTCCAACCCCGGGGGGGCAACTGTTCTGCTGTTAGCGAACTCTGGTACCTGGAGTGCCCAGCGGGACGTGGGTGGGGAAATCACCCTGACACACCCCACTGACACACACCAAACCCAGCAGACAAAGATAATCACCGCAGCGGTGGCACCTGGGGGGCTAGGGGGGCTGTTTCCTGGGCCAGCTGTGAGCTCTGAAGGAAGAGGACGCTGTGTTCTGAGACGTCTCCGCGGGCTCAGCGAGGAGCCTGTCCCAGCCCCACTCCTCCTCCACGGCCCTGCAGGCCAGGCACAACAGCAACCGGCCCCAAGATGGTGAGGCCCGGCTTCCATGAGTCACCTGGCCCACAGCGAGCTTGCTGGGCGATGTTATCGGCTCCTCTGCTTACTTAATCCCTTGGTTGACATCACCACCACCTCCATCCTTTCCTTCTCGGCACTGCAGCCTGCAGCCTGGCGTATCCTGGAAGGGAAGGCGCTGGAGGGCTTTTGCCAGAAGCTACCAGGACAGGTAAATTAGGACCCTCAGCTCTTTGGTCTTCAGCCTCAAGGCTCTTGGCCTAGTTCCTTGCTGCATATGGGCCTTGGTTTACCTCCCAGGAAATGCTGTCTGGAGTCAGGTCTGAGAGACACCTTCCCACCCCTGCCCCGTACTTACTCCCTCTCTCCTTGTTCAGATGTGGGCCAAGCTGCTCGCCCCTCAGTGTGTCCAGCTGGATCCTTGGGGCGCAGTCCCCCCGTCCAGCCCTCTGCTGCCTCAGCCATTTGCTCCTAAGTTTGGACTTGTGCAGGCCCAGCTACCCCCAGGCCTCTGTGTTGGGCCTCTGGGTTCCCAGGCTCAGGCTCTGCTGCCCCTCCGTCTAGTCACCCTGCCTGGGGACCTGGCTCCCTCAGAGGCCTCCCCCAACTCTTTCCCCTGCCTCTGCCCACCCTCTACCCCAAGCAGCCTCCTGGGAGCCTAAGCCAGTCCTTTTCATCGTAGCCCAGGATTCCCTCTCTCCTCCTCTCGCTTTGTCGCTGTTCCCCTGCTGACCCAATGTGGTCAGTGGCACATGGAGGGTGCCATGGGGTCAGTAGAGCAGTGACAGGGGCGACCAGAGACATGTGCTGTTTCATTTCAGCTTCCCCCGGTCTCCCCTCTGTGGCCAAGTGGGATGAGAAGCGAGGGGTTCAATCCTCTCCCCACACTGTCCTACTCTGTCTCCTCCCCGCCATTAGAGATGGACAGCAGGGGGTGAGGCTGAGAGGCCACCAAGTGAGGCTCAGGACCTAGTCCGTGACGGGAGGCTGCCCAAGCCTGGCCTGCCAGGGGGGCGGTGAGGGAAGGGGGTGGGGGCAGGAAGAAGAGCCAACCCTTTGAACTGCTGGACAGCATCCTCTGTGGCCCCTGGGAGACAGCTCCTCCAATGTCCCTGCCTGGGGCCAGGGAAGGGGGAGGGGGAGGTTTCTCAACACCAGTCACTTTTACTCCAGTTGTTTGACCAAAATGAATTGTTCTTAGCAGGAAAAAGAAAAAAAACACACAAAAAAACCAAAAGCCCCACCATTGAGGTCACTCCTATTACCCTAGCAGCTGATGAAAAGATCCTGAGAACAGATAACACACCTGGGCCGGGACTGCCGTCCTTCCCCTGCCCCCATTCTCCTGCCTGCCCACTCTGCACCCAAACACTGGCTGCTGCCCCAGCATCCTGGAACATTGCAGAATACTGTTCCAAATAAGGAGGGGGTGGGCCTGGAGGAGGAGGCCTGGTCTCAGTCCCACACACCCCAGTCTTGCTGGCTCTCTGTTCCCCGAACTGCCAAATGGGGGAAACCACTGAAGAACCAATGAAATAATTAATGTGAAAGTGCTTGGCAGTGATCACTAGCCAGCCAGCAGGCTGGGGTCCTGTAGAGAAGGGAAAAGGGAGTTAGGGAGGGTTTCAGAGAAGAGGTCACGTCACCCCTCAGTGATTTAAGAACATTAAATCAGTTGACTATATCTGCTATTGGAATCTTGCAGGTTCCCTTTAGGCCCTGGATTGAGTTCTTATTAATGCCCTCAGAGACATGCACACCTTGAGAATGATGGGCACCATTGCTGAGCTCAGCTTGTGGTCTACTCAGATCCCTGGATCCTCTTTCAAGTTTGAGAACACAGGGTCATCACTTTAGTCCGGTGGGTGTTCTGCTGTAGTACTTCCTTCCTTGGCTGCAGACTAAGCTCAAATTCTAGTCAACACTGGCTGCTTTCCTCGTTGGAGAGTGTAGCCTGATTTCAGCTGCAGTTTGAGCTTTTATCCCCTTTAACCCTGAGCCCAAAGCTCACCTACACTCATAGCCCACACATACCTCAAACTCATTTATCCCAGACCAAACTTGTAATCTTTCTCTCACTAGCCCCTTCCTTCACTTGTGTTCTAGGAGCTTAGTTCATGGTAAGACTCCCCACCACCCAAGCCAGAGGCTGAGTCATCCTTGACCACAGCCTTCTGTCCACCACATCTGATTATCCATCTCATCTAGTGGATTCTAACACTGGTATCTTTTTTTTTTTTTAACGTCTTTATTGGAGTATAATTGCTTTACAATGGTGTGTTAGTTTCTGCTTTATAACAAAGTGAATCAGTTATACATATACATATGTTCCCATATCTCTTCCCTCTTGCGTCTCCCTCCCTCCCACCCTCCCTCTCCCACCCCTCCAGGCGGTCACAAAGCACCGAGCTGATCTCCCTGTGCTATGCGGCTGCTTCCCACTAGCTATCTACCTTACGTTTGGTAGTGTATATATGTCCATGCCTCTCTCTTGCTTTGTCACAGCTCACCCTTCTCCCTCCCCATATCCTCAAGTCCGTTCTCCAGTAGGTCTGTGTATTTATTCCTGTCTTACCCCTAGGTTCTTCATGACATTTTTTTTTCTTAAATTCCATATATATGTGTTAGCATACAGTATTTGTCTTTCTCTTTCTGACTTACTTCACTCTGTATGACAGACTCTAGGTCTATCCACCTCATTACAAACAGCTCAATTTCATTTCTTTTTATGGCTGAGTAATATTCCATTGTATATATGTGCCACATCTTCTTTATCCATTCATCTGATGATGGGCTCTTAGGTTGTTTCCATCTCCGGGCTATTGTAAATAGAGCTGCAATGAACATTGTGGTACATGACTCTTTTTGAATTTTGGTTTTCTCAGGGTATATGCCCAGTAGTGGGATTGCTGGGTCCTATGGTAGTTCTATTTGTAGTTTTTTAAGGAACCTCCATACTGTTCTCCATAGTGGCTGAACCAATTCACATTCCCACCAGCAGTGCAAGAGTGTTCCCTTTTCTCCACACCCTCTCCAGCATTTATTGTTTCTAGATTTTTTGATGATGGCCATTCTGACTTGTGTGAGATGATATCTCATTGTAGTTAACACTGGTATCTTGACTCTTCCTCCCCTCTTCCCCATTCCCCACACCCCCCAGTTTTTGTAATAGTATAAATCCTCATCTCTTTTCTTAAGAGTGGCTAGTGGAACCAATCAGACTTCCTGGGCCATCCTCCACCCAGCCGATGGGATGACACCTTCCCCTACTGGTGGCTCCTGCCTGCCTCTCTGCCCTCATGTCCCAGCACTGCAGGACACGCACAGCCCAGCCCATGTGCGTGCTGGAAACAGCCGGGCCAGACTCCTTCCTTATGTTTGCTCAGGCTGCTGGGAAAGCCTTTCCTTCCTTGTCACCTGCAGAGCATCCCCTCCTTCAGGAGGGCTCTCAACTGGATATATGTGTGGGTCACTCCTTCCTCAGTACCCCACTCTGCTCTGTCCATTCCGTGCGGAGTGGCTGAGGGTGCACTGCCCTCTGGTGCCTCCCCAGCCACAGAGGGACCTTCATCCTCTCTCTACCTAGACCCTGATCCCACCAAGAGCATGGTGGGTGCACGCCAGGCAAATCTGGGTGGGATCCAGTTTTGCCTGTTTCCCACTGGGGACCTCAGCCAAGTTACTTATCTCTGAGCATACTTTTCCTCATCTGTCAGATGGGGTAATATCATTACCTGCTTCCCAGGATGGGTAACTGAGCCAGTCAAGTGCTTGGCACAGAGCCTGGCACATCATGAGAGGGCAGCAAATAGCTCTCATGGTTTCCACTCTTGTTATTAATCACTAGGACCTGGGAGAAAGTGCAGACAACTCAGGGCGGCTGACACCTCAGCCCTTCCCTCCCCTCCCCAGACTCTGCAGTACAGTCCCTTCAGCCCCTCTGCCCTTGTTCAGAGCCCCCTGTTCGCCCCCTTTCTGGTTGTCTGCTCTTGCCACCTAGACAGGGGCTTGGGCAAGGCCACCTCGTCCCCTTTTGCCAGTCCTTCCTCCCAGGACCCAGTGCTGTCCACATGGGGCTGTGACACCCAGTGTCAGAATTGTTCTCAGCCTGGGGGCAGTGTGGGCTGCCATGCTCATCTCCTTACTGCAACTGTGGTGGCTTGCTCAGTAAGACCCCAGAGTTTCCCCCAACCACACAGGGAGTGAGATGCTGAACTGGCATGCTGATATACCCTGGTCTTCTGGCCCCAAGGCCAAGACTCTATCCATTCTGCCCTGCTGTTGTCCCTTCCAGTCTTTTTTGCATCTGTATGACTCAGTCTCCTCATCTGTACAATGGGCATAAAAATTCCTTCTCCTCCTTCTTTGTCCAGAGGAGGGGAGAAGAATACGGTTAGGATGGGAAGCTGGGAGGAAGTGGAGACCGAGCTGTGTACAAGGCAGGAGAGCCTGGCTGGGGTGAGGACTATAAGAGAATAAACAGGAGGTGAGGGAGGCCAGTCCAGTCTCCACCCTTCCAGCAGCCCAAGTCCGGTGCCTGAGTCCACAGCGCCCCCTGCTGGCAGGTCAGCCAGAAGCTCCCTGTGGGCAGCACCTGCCTCAAGCTTCACATTTCCCTCTGGTGACCTCTGGGAAGGTGTCGCCCCTCCCCTCAGGGAGCCCAGTCTGAGGGTGGGAGCGGGTGTTTCTGTCTGAGAAGGGAACTTCCTAGGCCAAGGGGTTCAGCATTCTCCTCCCGAGAACCTGCTGAAATCTCTCCCAGAAAGGTCTGCAGGCTGGCAAGAAGGCCGGTGGTCTGCTCCAAGCCCAGCAGCTATGCTTTGATTAGGACTCCCTCCCCCTCCCCCTCCCCCCACCCCTATCCCATAAGGACCATGGGGGAGACAGGTGAGGGCAGATGCTGAGAAATCAGGGTGAGGGGCTGCTCAGGTTCTTTGCTTGCCCTCGGGCCAGGCCCCCCAATCAGCACCCTCGCCATCTAGAGATGGTCCTCCCAGCCCTCCAGAGCCCAGGCCCACCTTCCTCCTCGTCAGGACTTTTCTCCAAATTGACGGCAGTTTCATCATCTCTGCATTTCCTTAGCCTGATTCTGGGTTAGGTGTTGGGGATTCGGGGAACAGCAAGCCCCCTAACTAACCCCCCAGGAGCTCAGACATGCCACTATTCCCCCTCTGCTCTCCCTTCCCATTCATCCCCAGTATCCTTCCAGGGCTCCAGGACCTGCTCTGCAGGGCAGCCTCAACACACCCAACATTAAAATGCAGCCACGGGCTTCCCTGGTGGCGCAGTCGTTGGGAGTCCGCCTGCCGATGCAGGGGACATGGGTTCGTTCCCCGGTCCGGGAGGACCCCACATGCCGCGGAGCGGCTGGGCCCGTGAGCCATGGCCGCTGAGCCTGCGCGTCCGGAGGCTGTGCTCTGCAACGGGAGAGGCCACAGCAGTGAGGAGGCCCGCATACCGCAAAAAAAAAAAAAAAAAAAAAAAATTCAGCCAGTTGTGGCCACCCTCCTGCCCCCTCCCTGGAAAGTCTCCATTTACCACTCCCAACCCTGGGCTCTGTTCACTGTCCTTGAGACTTTCCCCTCGAACTGCATCCTTCCTGGACTGTTTATATAAGGACCAGAGCCTCTTCTAGGAAGTCTTCCTGGGTGGATCCCAGCCTCAATGATTTTCCTGAATTCAGTCTTTTCCAGGATCTCCTGGCACAGACTGCTGTGCACTGGGTACGTTATTATCCTATTATCCTATCTGTCCCACAGAAGCTCTGGGCCTCAGGAGGGAATACCTCTGTCACCTCCTTCCCTGGTGAGACATGGGGCCGTCCATACACGATCCTTTAAGTCCACTTACATCAATAGTTCTCAGCTGGACACAATTTTGCCCCCAGGGGATATTTGGCAATATCTGGAGACTTTTTTGGTTGTCACAATTGGGAGGTGGTGCTACTGGCATCTCGTGGGTAGAGACCAGAGATGCTGTTAACCATCCTACAATGCACAGAACAGCTCCCACAGCAAAGAAATATCTGGCCCCCATGTCAATAGTGGCAAGGTTGAGAAACCCTGATTTAAATAAATCCACAGATTGAGGATTAAAATAGTGGCCAAAAAAGGGGCAATGGCTCAGGCGGGGGAAGGGCCAGAGCAGGCGTCTCATAACAGACACCGGCTTCCCCTCCACGTGGGCTTTATACTCCCATGTGCCTTCTACACCCTTCTGTGGGCCTGTCGTGTCTTGTGTAAGTGGAGGCGACCTGACTCAGAGGAAGAGAAACCAGGTGCTGCCTAGACAGTTCCTGGGGAAGTGGGCTCTGTGTGGAGAATGCTTTGGGAGCCAGGGGTGATTTTTGCCTCAGTTTAGTCATCTCTAAAATGGGGATGGGCGTTCCCTTCCAGTCCAAATGGTCAAAATGGTCCTAAACAGTATCTCTCCGATGGGCACAGTCATTTTCCCCTCTGCTGATGGGCAGGAGCCCTCCCGCGGGGTGGAGGGTGGAGTACTAGCCACCAGCCCCTAAAACAGACGTCGGGGTTATTGTGGCTCTAATTGCCCTCCCAGGAAACAGCTGTCAGAACAAGACCCCTTTGATAGGCTTCATCAAAGCTGCCTCCATGACCCCTGGGGACTGACTGGGGGAGGGGGCGGGTCCTGAGGCTAACTGGTGACTGGGAGTGGCCGAGAGGTGGGCCACTGTCTGGCGTCTCCCTGACCCCACTCCCTTCCCCGAATGGTCCCTTTCCAGGACCAGACCTTGGGCAGAGGTAGGAGTCTCAGCTGAGAATCTGGGCTTGGGCACAGCCTTAAACTGGACCTGGGTAGGGACTCTTCTAGGATCAGGCTGCTAAAGGGAGTAGGGTTCCCCCAGTAAACAACGAATCGTTTTTTTAGTATCGGTATATCCCAACTATTGCACGGGACGTGCTTATAGTCAAAATGATTCGCTCTTGGTCTGAAATTCAAATTTAACTGAGCATCCTGTATTTTCATTTGCTGACTCTGGCAAGTCTACTTCAGGGCCGGGGGCTGCAGGCTGGTGCAGAAGCAGGGAGGTTTCAGCCATGTTCCACCCCAGGACAGTTGCCTCAGGCCCACCCAAGTCAGGCTGTACCTGCTGAGTGTTTCCTGGGGCCAGCCTTGTGCTAGGAGCAGTGGGGGTGACACTCTCTGAGGCCCACGGCTCTGCCTGCAGATCCACCCACATACTGCAGCTCAGCGGACCTGGGTGTGGGAGCAGCGTTACTGCACGGTGTCTGGAGACCAGGCTGGTCAACGGGAGCTCTCCTGCAGATGTGGCCACTGTTTTCCAAAAGTCAAGAGATACCATTGTGATGAATAAAATGCACATTTGTTTAAAGGCAAGCATTACATAGTGGCTTTTGGCTCTTAAAGCTTTTTCTCGAGAAAATACCCAAAGTGTAATTACTAGGGGAGAAGGATACTTCTGGGGCTTTCATGCTGGAAAAAAATCTGAGGACGATTAGGTCTGAGGATTCTAGGACTTGACCTTTCATGGACCATGGACCCAGTGGGCATCTGGTGAAGCCTATGGACTTTTTCTTGGAATAATATTTTCAAACGTATAAAATTAAATCCACAGGACTACAAAAGAAACCAGTGGTGCAAAAATACAGTGGTCAAAACACGAAGGAAACAGCTTTATAAAAGAGTAACACACACGCTTCTCTACTTACACTTTGGTGGTGATCATTTTAAAGCAGCGATGGGTAGCTATTTCAAAAGATTGGCAACAATTCCAATGTGATCCCAAAATCTCTGTGATTTCTGTTGGTGACAAAGTCACAGTTTCTGCAAATACTACTGTAGATTGTTCCCTGCATTTACAATAAAGGAAATGCTAAATTTCAGTTAGATGCTAGTGAAAATAAAGATGTATATTTTTTTCTCATCCAAAGTCATGGATCCCTGAATTCTATCCACAGACCTCCTGGCGTGGGGAAGGTGGTATCTGAGGTCCTTAGGTTACGGGCACCTGCTCTGGAGGGAAAGCGCACAAGAGGGACTTAGAATAGAGCACAGGCAAGAGTCACGCATTCTCAGAGACAAGGAGAAATCAGATAGAAACGTAATGGGCAACCTGAGGGTGTGAGTCTGTGTGTAGGTGGACTGTGTCCGCTCACAGGACCCCTGGGAAGACCCCGAGGATGCTCCCACCTGCACTGCCTGAGCCAGACTTGTAGTCCCCGGGTTAAGCATTACCCTCTGTGTCCACAGCCACAAAAAAAGATCTGAACGTTATCCACCTTCCAAACACTCAAAACATTGCGGTTCAGGAGGCAGCCCAAATATCCGAGCGCCCACAAGGAGAAACAAGCTTGACCTCCATGCCATCATCAAGTTCCCCCTGACCACTGAGTCGGCCATAAAGAAGATAGAAGACAGCAGCACACCTGTGTTCATTGTGGAGGTCAAGGCCAACAGGATGTGAAGAAGCTCTATGACTTTGACGTGGCCAAGGTCATCACCCTGATAAGGCCTGATGGAGAGAAGAAGGCATATGTTCGACTGGCTCCTGACTATGACGCTTTGGATGTTGCCAACAAAATTGGGATCATCTAAACTGAGTCCAGCTGACTAACCCTAACTATAAGATTTTTCACTATTAAAAAAAAGGCATTGCCCTCTGACATCCTTCCCCGCCTAGTGTGGTGTGTGTGGTCTGACCCGAGGCACTGGGGGCTGGGGCCTGGGCCTTTTGGAGAGAAGGCCCTGAGGGGAAGGCCTCAGGCAGGGCTAGTAACCTGGTGAGGAGGCCCCCGTTTTTGTATTTTATTTTTAAATTTAAGTGGCGGAAGGACTCACACAATACAAACACAAATGCGGACCTGAAAGTACCTAGGCAACTTGATAAGTGTTTTGTCACAGGAATCAGGACATTATCATGAGGACGTCTGGAATTTATAAATAATGCCCTCTTTCAGGATGTCAGCTCTAACCCCCAGTCTGACGGCTTGTTAAAGCATTAGGCTGAGTCAAGCTAGAATAACTCCTTTCCAAATATTTGACAATGGAATTAATCTTGAACTCACTGTGGATCAATGCCTTTTATTTTTTTATTTTTATTTTTTCCAGGCTTATTGAGATATAATTGACATATAACATTGTGTAAGTTTAAGGTGAGCGACAATGATTTGATATATGTGTAAGTTGTGAAATGATTATCACAATAAGTTTACCTACCATCTATCACCTCACATAACTACGATTGTTTTTCTTGCGATGAGAACTTTTGAGATCTACTCTTTTAGCGACTTTCAAATATCCAATCCAGTAATGTTAACTGTAGTCCCCCTGCTGTATATTACATCCCCAGGATGTATTAATGCTATAACTGAAGTTTTACCTTTTGACTACCTTGGCTAATTTTCCCCACCGCCCCACCTCTACCTCCGGTAACCACCAATCTGTTCTCCATTTATCTGAGCTCGGGTTTTTTTAGATTCAGCATAAAAGTGAGATCATGCTCTGTCTGACTTCTTTCACTAGGTCCTGGTTCTGAGAGGACTGTGGGCACCTTTGGAGTGAGGGGGAGGGACGGTGTGTCCAGCCTGGGTTTTGTCTTGGTGAGGTGGGAGACCACAGGATAAGATGCAGGCGGGGAGGAAACCATAAGGAAGTTTCTGGAAATCTGTGCATTTTGCCTCCTTTCTTAACTTCCCTTCCCCTCCCCTCCCCCCTCCTCCCACCCAGAACCAGGATCCAATTTCCTCTTTTTTCAAAATAGAACTCAAAACAGATTTAATCTCTGGGGATTGCTCTGTGGAGGGAACTTGTAGAGGCAAGTTGTCTCATATGTTGTAAGAGAAATGCATATATATTGAGTCTGAAAATAAGAAGTCTATTTGGCACGTGAAGCTTCTCACATCTCTGGCTGCTGGTCATCTGCGTCCTGCCTGCACTGGACATCACTGAGAGCCACACCTCAGGGTTGGTGTCCCTCTGCTACCCCCAACCCATGGGGACCTTTCAAAATAACCACATGGAAACCCTAAATTTGGGGAGGGACTAGCACCATGTGACCCATGGTGGAGGCTAGGAATGCAGACTCCTGGGCCCCCTTCCAGGCTAATGCATTGGAATCTCCTAGTTGCTACTGGGGATTCTGCTGCACAGGATCCACAAAGTCCACTCTGAGCAACCTTGGCCCGCTGGCCAGTGGTCCTGCGCACTCTGCTCAGAGCTGGGGCCTCTCTTTCTGCAGTGCTTCAAAGCCTGGGCTTTGGGATGGAACCTTCAAGCCCTTGAGAACCCCCTTCTGTTGTTCTCAGTCATTCTGAAGTGGGGTCAGATGCGGTGGGATGGGTGGTGTTCAGTGTGTGAACCATGTGCCAGGTGCAGAGAGGGCACAGGGTGACACAGAATGACGTGTTGGAATCACCTGCCACGTGTCGTCTCAGCCCTACTCCAGTGGTGTAAGAATGATGCCTCCTGACCTCCCATCACTCATGGAGACAAAACAGAGAGTGCCACAGACATCCTGGGCCTTCCAACCTGCTGGGATAAGCTGTCTCTGATCCACCGTGGGCCGCCCGTGGCTGTGGTCCTAAGAGTCAAAAAGCCTTTTCCACCAAACTTTATGTTCCTACTAGGAGTCACCAGGCCGGCATTTCCCAAACTGTCTACTGAGCACGTCATGAAATGTTATAAAGTACAGTTGACCCCTGAACAACGTGGAGGTTAGGGGTACCAACCCCTGCACCGTCGAAAATCTGTGTATAGCTTATAGTCGGCCCTCTTTATAGGTGGTTCTGCATCCTCAATTCAGCCAACCGCTGATTATGTGGTATTGTAGCATTTACTGTGGAAAAACATCAGAGTATAAGTGGACCTGCGCAGTTCAAACCCATGTTGTTCAGGGGTCAACTATATTCTCCCATGAATGTGCAAAACTAGCAATATTTTCCTTTAAGATTTATTTTGAAAAAATATGTGTATGGAAAGTGACAAATATGTGCATACCCTTATCATCCTATGATCATCCGTCTTTACAAAATGAGATGCTCTATCTGAAGATGGCAAGAATTCATACTGGGACGTGTGCATTGCAGAAACAGTGTTGAGATGCTGTGGCCCAATACATTTGGAAATGCTATGCTGGACTGTGAGGTACTTGAGGACAAGAGTCAGGACGGGTATCCCCTCACCTCTTGGTGGACTGTTACATTGGGGACCCCGGAGGAACCACACACGCTCTGGTCTTCATGCCCTTGTATTGCCCTCTCCCACAGGTGGACTAAACATGTGACTGGCTCTGACCAATGTGCCATCAGAAGCATTGATCTGACAAGTGCTTGCTTCTCCTCTTAGGGCTTGTCCTCTTGGAACACTCTTGGGGAAGCCAGCCACAAGCTATAAAGCGACATGGGTAGACTAGAGAATGATGCAACAGCACTTGGAGCTTGAGAGACCATGCGCGAGGAGGAGCTGAGGCTCCAGATATTTTACTGAGGTCTCCTTGGGCTTTCTAGCCTAGCCCAGCTGAATGAGTGGCACAGCGGATGTCGCCTGGAGCAGAAGAACCACCCAGCTGAGCCCTGCCCAAATTCCTGATCCACAAAATCATGAAGAAGAATAAACTGTTGCTGTTTTGAGGTACTAAGTTTTGGGATAGTTTGTTACGTAGCAACAGGTAGCTGAGATGCTTATAGTAGGTGAGTAATAAATGTGTGAGAAATGAGTGGATGGCAAACCAAGTTTTCAGCTCTGGGGTTAATCCCTTGCTCACACTGGCCCTGATATTCGTCAATCCTTGATCACATATACTTTCTCCTGCGATTCCTGTGATGCTTAATTTTATGTGCCAACTTGACTAGGCCATGGAATGTCCAGATAATTGGTCAAACATTATCCTGGGTGTTTCTGTGAAGATATTTTTGAAGGAGAGTAACATTTAAATTGGTAGACCAATAAAGTAAATTGACCTCCATTATGTAAGTGGGCTTCATCCGATCAGCTGAAGGCTTGAATGGAACAAAGGCTGATCCTCTCCCGAGCAAGAGAGAATTCTCCTGCCTGACAGCTTTCAAACTGGGACGTTGACTTTCCCTGCTTCTACAGCAGCCTTCTAGCCTTCGGACTCAAAGTGGGACATCGGCTCTGCAGATTTTGGACTCACCAGCCTCCATAACTGCATAAGCCAATTCCTTATAATAAATTTCCTTATCTGTAGGTCTAGATCTATAGGTATATGCTATTCATTTTGTTTCTTTGGAGAACCCTGAGTAATACAGATTAGGGTACCGGGAATAGGGTTGCTGCTATAACAAATACCTAAAAATGTGGAAGTGGCTTTTGAACTGGGTAATGGGTAGAGGCTTGGGGTGCTTGCTGGAAAAAGCCTAGATTGCCCTGAAGGGACTGTTGGTGGAACATTAAAGGTGATTCTGGTGAAGACTTAGAAAGTAAAGGAGAGAGCTATAAAGAAAGCTGTAGAGAATAGGTATATCATCTTGAATAGAATGCTTCTGGAATATGAACAGTAATGCTGCTTCTGGTGAGACCTCAGGAGGAACACGGTATTGGAAGCTGAGGGCAAAGTGATCCTCGTTATACATGAGCAAGGAACTTGTCTCAGTTTCCAGTGTTCTGTGGAAGGACTTGTATGTGACAACCTTGGATAATTAGCAGAGGAGATTTCTAAGCAAAGTGTTGAAAATGTGGCCTGGCTTCTCCTTACTGCTAAGAGTAAAATGTGAGAGGAGAGAGATAAATTGAAGAAATTATGAAGCAAACAGGAACCAGAATTCGAAGATATGGAAAATTCTCAGCTTATCCATATTTCAAAAAATAAGAAAGCGGCATTCCAGAGAAAACACCAAGGGTGCAGCTGCATGATCATTCCATGAAGAGATTATCCACAGATCTAATCAGCCATCTCAGCTGAAGCCAGGAATAGAGATGGGATTATATTGGCAGAACATGCCAGCGGGGACTAAAGGGGAGAGAGAAAACGGAGTGGAGGAAGGCTGTCAGATTTCTGGGATCCACTGGACGGGACAGTAGAGTTTCCAGATTCAGATTTTCAAGAAAAGGGAACAATGACCATGAAGATGATTCAGAGATCATCAGGGCTGCCACTCCCACCTCAGGCCGAGGGGACATGGCTGTTGCAAAGGGTGGGGCCACTTCCTCAGTTTCAGAGGGCCAGGATGCCATCAATCAGTGCCTCAGAGGCAAGGCTGCCCAGCAGAGCTGAGGGGGCAGGGTCACTGCCTAGGATTATGGGGTGATGCTACTGCGCCAGTGGGCATGGAGGGTAGGACATTGAGCTGAAGAGGATCATTCTGGAATCTTAAGATCAAATGGAATTTGCCTTGCTAGTTTTGGACTGGCTTGGGACCTGTTACCCCTTTCTTCTTTCCAATTTCTCCCTTTTGGAATGGGAACGTCTGTTCTGTGCCTGTCACACCATTGTGTTTCGGTTGTGTCTTGGAAGTACAGAACTTGTCTGGTTTCACCGTTTCACAGCTGCAGAGGAGTTTTGCCTCAGAATGAATCATACCTCGAGTCTCATCCTTATCTGGTTTAGATGACATTTAGTGAGACTTTGGACTTGGAATTGATGCTGGAATGGGTTAAGACTTTGGGGGCTGGGATGCGGTGAATGTATTTTGCATGTGAGGTGAATTCGGGGGGGGCACTAGTTTGTAGACTGTTATAGGCTGAAGGTGTCTCTCAAATTTACATGTTGAAGCCCTAACCCCCAATGTGACTGTATTTGGAAATGGGGCCTTTAAAGAGGTAATTAAGTTCTATGAGGTCATAGGGGTGGGGCCCTAATCCAAGAGTACTGATGTCTTTACAAGAAGAAGAGACACCAGAGGTCTCTCTCTATCCTCGTGTACACAGATAAAAGGCCATGAAGCTGCATCTGCAAGCTGAGGAGAGAGGTCTCACCTTGATCCTGGGCTTGATCCTGGGCTTCCAGGAACCTTGATCCTGGGCTTCCAGTCTCCAGAACTGCGAGAAGATAAATTTCTATTGTTGGGACTTCCCTAGTGGTGCGGTGGTTAAGAATCCACCTGCCAATGCAGGGGACACGGGTTCGATCCCTGGTCCAGGAAGATCCCACATGCTGTGGAGCAACTAAGCCCATGTGCCACAACTACTGAGCCTGTGCTCTAGAGCCTGCACACCACAACTGCTGAAGACCGTGCGCCTAGAGCCCATGATCCACAACAAGAGCAAGCCACTGCAATGAGAAGCCCGCGCATCACAATGAAGAGTAGCCTGCACTCGCTGCAACGAAGATCCAACGCAGACAAAAATAAATACATAATAAATTTATTTTTTTAAAAAATTCTATTGTTTAAGCTACTCTGTCTGTGATATTTTATTATGGCAGCCTGAGCAGACTAATGCAATTCCCCACAACAACTGATGAGTGAGGGGTTCATGCAGACTTGGATTTCAATTCTAACATTCACTGATTCAATTACTTAGCCAATATTTAAGTCCCACTATGTGTCAGACGCTGTCAGACCCTGGGTTTCAATGGCAAGCAACACGGTCACAGTTCCTGTTCTTGTGGAGCTTAAAGTCATGTGAGGGAGGTGAACTTCATCAAATAATTACTCAAATAGACATAAGATAATAACAATGAGAAGTGCTATAGGGGGATGTCCCCTAGTCAAGAAGGTCAGGGAAAGTTCTTGGAGAGGTAACACCAGACCTGAGATACGAAGGGTGATTAGGAGTAATCCAGGTGAAGCAGGGAAGGATGGGTGTTCCATGCAGAAGGAACAGCATGTGCAAAGGGTACTCCCACCAAGGAGGGAGCCGGAGGGTGTTCAGGGGACCAGATGAAGGCCGCCCTGACTTTCCAGAGTGGAGAGAGGAGGGGCGGAGGAAGAGGTGGGTCTCTCATGCTGGGCAGACCACGGTAAGACTTTGTCTTATGAGCAGCAGGAAGCCACTGAGCTGTCCTAACCTGCGAGTTGGCATGGTTGGGTTGGCGCTGACTGGCCTGGGGCCGCTGTGTGGAAAAGGAGCTGCATGGAGGCCAACATGGAGGCTCTTGAGGGGTCCAGGAGAGATGTGTGGGTGCAGAAGGGGGGCACTGGGCCAGAGTGGTGGCAGCGGTGGTGGAGAGAAGGGCTAGATTGGAGAGCTGTTTATTAAGGTAAGGCAACTGGGCTTTGGTGCTGACGTGTGTATGGGAGGTGAGGGTAAGGGAGGAGTCCCTGCGTTGAGCACCTGGGTGAGGGTTGGTACCATCCAGTGAGGGAGAGAAGATGGGGAGGACCAAGGCAGGGGTGGGGCAGCCACTTACTGATTGGGTGAACTCAGCAGGCGCTTTTAAACCTCTGTATGCCTCAGTTCCCTATCTAAGTGCTTTAAGTGAGATGATGTTTATAGAGTCGGGCTCAGAGCAGCTGCTCCTGCATATCAAGGCCCACCCGTCCCCCACCCCCCCATCTTTTCCTCTGTGCGGTGGCATGGGCAGATGCTATTGTTCCCATTTTCACTTTTTTTTTTGCGGTACGCGGGCCTCTCACTGTTGTGGCCTCTCCCGTTGCACAGCACAGGCTCCGGACGCGCAGGCTCAGCAGCCATGGCTCACAGGCCCAGCCGCTCCGTGGCATGTGGGATCTTCCCGGACCGGGGCATGAACCCGCGTCTCCTGCATCGGCAGGCGGACTCTCAACCACTGCGCCACCAGGGAAGCCCTATTGTTCCCATTTTAAGGATAAGGAAGCTGAGTCTCTGGAAGGTTGAGGTCTCACCCGAAGTCCCACACTGTTGGAACCAGGCTTATAGAGAGGTATTGGGAAGAGCCTTCCCTCTCTGCCAGGCTGCCTTTAATATCAGCTTGCAGATCCCAAGAGCGGCAATGATTCATTCAGCAGCTCCTCAGTCATCATCACAGGCCTGGTGTGGGGTGGCGAAGAGGGGATGAACTTCAGGTGGGAAATGCAGCTGGGGGAAGGGACAGAGGTGTGTTGCCATGAGGTCAGGCCCCGAGTCCTCAGAAAGGCAGGAAGTTAAATACCAAATAGCCAACTTCCAAAACAAAGGATCCTCACAGAGTCCAAGATGGGTGCTCTGGTTGGCAGGCAGCCTTCCCCTAAGGAGAGGTTCAGGCACCCAGGCTCCTTCCATCTTGTGGGTCTGCCATCTCCTAAATCACGAGGTCATGGCAGAAGGGAAAATAGAGGTAGATGGGGCACACCTGCTTCTTAACATCCTCAGCCCAGAAGAGAGATAGAGTGCCTCTGTTCATGCTCTACCAGCTTGATGGCAAAGGAGATGGAAATGGAGTCCAGGGAGTACCCAGGAAGAGGAGAAGATGAATTTGGTAACCAGCTAACCAGTCCTGCTACAACAGGTCAGAGCTACAACTTGTTTAAGATGGAGGTGGGGAAGGGTGCCCAGGATCTTCTGGAATTTCCCTAGGACAGGAGAGGACCAGCCCTGGGGTCAGCAGGTTGGAAGAGCCGGGCTTGGTCCCAGTACACTGGTCGATAGTTGGCAGGGAGGACACTTCTGGGTACATGCTCATGGGCCAAGGCCAATGGGAAATCTATCCCGAGGTCCTTAAGAAACTGTACTATGAGGAGTTAGTGAGAAATGCCCCTGTGTATTATACCTACTAAAGCATCTGTGGCCTGGCAGAGAGAGGGGTGTTGTTGTGACCTTTAGTCGGGTGGCTTCCATGCATTTAGAAGGGACATTTGAGCAAAGACATGAAGACACTGACTCATGAGGACGCTGGTGGAAGGGCAAAGGGAACAGCAAGTGCAAAGGCCCTGTGGTAGGAGTGGGCTTGCTGTGTTCAGGACCCCCTTGTAATAATCTAGGCCAGAGATGAGGGTGGTAGTAGTGCATGAGGACGAGGGGAGATGTGGTTAGATTTCTGGCTCAATTTGTAGGTATATCCCTCCTTTTCTCACTTCCTTCCTTTCTCAATTTTCTGGAAGGGCCTAATGAAAACACACCAAGGCGTGTCCACTTCTTTACTCTTTTCTTGCCCCATGAGGGCAAGAACTGGGCCTGACTCCTTCCCTCACCCTCACACCTGGCACAGGGAGGGCCCCTGGCCAGTGCCTGGTGAACACGTCTGTGGAGAGAAGTCACGTCCTCCTGAGTCATCAGTTTCCTGGGGCTGAGCCCAGGCCCTGCTTGTCAGCATGTTGCTCACTGATCTGGAAAGCTTTCCTGTCGTCTAGACACTCCCATCCCCGTGCTGGAGAGACCTTCTAAAGGAGGTCAGTGTACACTATCAAAGGAGATAGGGCATGAGTCACAAGGGAGTCACGGGGACACCTGCTGGGAGACAACTTCACAGGTGCTATACGTCTGGATGCGTCCCCCTGCTGGTTTCAGGAAGCCCAGGAGGGACCCCAGGCCCAGACCAGCCAGGCCCTGAGCTCCGGCTGGGAGTGTGGGGCTTGCACTGCTCCCTCACTGATGGCTGGAGGGATCCCCAGCAGCCTCTGAGGGGCCTCCTTTACCCACTGACTTGCAGCCCCTTCCCTGCAACACCCCTCTCCTCTGACTTTCACAGACGCTTGGGTACAGCTGCTGTTCACAGTCCAGCAGGCTCTGGATGTCTGAGAGGGCTTCGAGGAACTGAAGACCCCTGGGCCTTCAATTCCAAACGTTGCTGCAGGCTTCCGGCTTTCTCCCGGATTGCATTCTGCGAGTCATGTGTTTCCTGCGCTCTCATGCCAAAATTAACCGCCATTTCACTTTTCCCACAGGTTTTCTCTCTCATACTATGTGGCGGGGTAGGATGGTGCGGCGGCTACACATGTGTGAGTTCACACATGTGTGAACTCTGGAATCGGACAGATTTGAGTGGGCATCGTAGCTTCTACCCTTACGAACTGTTACAGGAGCAGAGCCCTCTGAGCCTCAGTTTATCCATCTGTAAAATGACAATCCGAGGATCGACCTAAGAGCTTGGTTGTGAAGATTAAACTGAGGTAGTGATAACATGCGTAGACACACAGGGAATGCGGGTTATTATTACTCTTAATAACAGCCCAAAGGAGAGGTGGGGCTCTTAGGACACTGCCGGCTCTGAGCCCTGCTTCCTATTTCCTCCAGCTTCTCGGGCAAGTTCCACTTTAGCCCAGAGCAAAATGAGAAAGCGCTGCATGTTCTGGGCCTTTGGGGAGACTGAGAACAGCTGAATCCATGAATGGTGCCTCGGCAGGTGCCAGGGATGCCCAGCCCCACCCTCACGCGGTGCCAGAGCGCTGCCTGCCAGACCCTTGTCAGCGGTTACAACCTCCAACTGCCTCCTGCTGCCCCAATTTTATCAAAAGCTCAGTTGAGAGAAACCAAGTTCATGGGGGTTATCTAAAGGCCATGCATTCCATCCATTCTTCCAGATGAGACTTATCCCTGAACCAAGTCGGGCTCTCACGAAGCCGAGTGCCTCTTGGACCATGTTCTTTAGCCACCACAAAATCTTTACTATGTCCCTCCCTTATGGTGGGGCTTTCTGGAAAATGGCCGGAGGAGTCCCGCTGTTGCATTTATTTGGGGATGCTGCTGTCGCTGGCAGTCACTGCCTCAGCCAGCACTGGCTATAAGACCTGGGAGCCGAATATATTTCAGGCTCCAGTTCCTGGAGAAGCTCTGCATCCTCAGAGGGTTTCTGATTATGGGCAATACGACTCATGAAACTGGCCCCAATTCTCATTTCACTTGGGCTACCAGGAAGCTCAGAGCCAAATTTGGGGCTCAGCTTGAAGAATCCTAGAGGGTCTCTTGGTCCGTCATGTAAGGAAGATGATTTCTTCCCAGATGCTGAGAGATAAGATGATGATAATGACGATGATTTTGTATGTATGTTTAAAAATAATATCTATTTAATTTATTTTCCTTTTTTTTTTTTTGGCTGCATCAAGTCTTAGTTGCGGCACATGGGATCTTTGTTGAGGCACGCGGGATCTTTTTGTTACAGCGCAGGGTCTGCTTGGGTTTCTCTCTGGTTGTGGCGTGCAGGCTTCTCTTTAGTTGTGGTGTGTGGGTTTTCTCTTCTCTAGTTGAGGCACGTGGGCTCAGTAGTTGTGGCACTTGGGCTTAGCTGCCTTGCGGCATGTGGGATCTTAGTTCCCCGACCAGGGATCGAACCCACATCCCCTGCATTGGAAGGTGGATTCTTTACCACTGGACCACCAGGGAAGTCCCTGGTATGTATCTTGTCAATTACTTTAGGGCTGTAGTGGGACCAGAGTGGAAGTTTCCATCCTGAAAAACAAGGGATGGAGAACTGGCCAGGGTGAGTGGAGAAGGAGGAGGTGAGCGGGAGGAAATTGTGCAAGAAATGGTGGCTCTGGGATGGGCCCCTTTCTAGGCCACCGTGGAGGGGGTCAAGGGTCTAGTTTAACTGAACCAGAGGGCATGAAAAGAGGATTTTCCATGAATTTGTGAAGAGAAACACAGCCATTGCTCAACTTGAACTTCTCCCTGTGGCCCCCCTCCGCCCCCCAGCTTTCTGGGTATTTTTGAGATGCTGTGAAACTCCGAAGCTTGCAGCGTCTCCTTTCTCTTCCTCTTTGCTCCCCAGCCCAGACACTCCCACCCACCTTTCCCTTTGTCCTCTTTGACCTTCTCCAACTCCCGCTTTCCTCCATCCCTCCACCCCGGGGCACAGGGGCGAGGGCTGGGCTGCCCACTCTGACTGCTTAGCCATCTCTGGGCAACACACGAATCCCTCTGGTCTGAAGCCCACAGGTTTGCTGCTGGAGCAAACAGAAGAGGGCTGAGGAGTCCAGACCCCTCAAGGAAAGAGTAACAGTAGAGCAGCGAACGTTAATTGAACCTGCTACTGTCTGCCAAACATTTAGGAACCATTACCATCGCTCCTTTTAATCGGATTTATTTTAATGAGTCGTATGCCTCAGCAGCTCACCGTTCCAGCCAGGCCCCTTCATCCATCTGTTTACCTGTCTGTCTAGTCCCGGGTTCTCGATTTCAACACCACTAACATTTGGGGCCAGATACTTCTTTGCTGTGGAGGCTGTTCTGGGCACTAGAGGATGCTCAGCAGTTTCCCTGGCCTCTACCCACTAGATGCCAATACCAACCCCTACCCCGTGACAACCAGAACGTCTCCAGACATTGCCAAATATCCCCTGGTGGTTGCAGGGGACAAAATCACCCCCAGGTTGGGAACCACCATCCCTTTTGTCCCAGCCCTCACTTGTATCTCTCCCTCTGATGGAACCTCTCTGACACATTAACAGGTATCCCATTTGCGTATGTTCTTGCAGCTCTGTTGACTGCCTGCCACATCCTTTGCCCAGTTTTCTATCCCGGTTGCCATCTTCTTTTGATTTGCAAAGGGTAGTCCTTGTGTATTCTAGATATTGGTCCCATGCTGGTCTGGACCTGTGTTGTCTTCTCTTTTTCTCCCATCCATCTATTAACTCTCACCTTACAGGTGAGGACACAAGGGCACGGTGCTCACAACACTAGTAAGTGGTGGAGCCAGGACACGAGCCCGGGTCTCTGTCCTCAGAGCCCAGGCCCGTGCCCCCTGGGACACAGTGACATCCCTTCCTTCCAAATATGCCTCCACGGAAAAGCAGACAAGATCAGGCACTGAAACCCGGGGAGGGGACCCAGGTGGTTTGCTCAAGGTCACACAGCTAGTCAACAGCATCACCTGGTTCTCCCTGACACGATGACAAGTGTCTTGGGAGTTGGATCTCACCTTTACTTTGCTCTAGGAATGGTCAAGTTTGATGGCCAGTGTCTGATGAGAGACACCGGCTCTGGGGAGCAGAGGAGGTGGGGAACTGAGGGTGTCGGGCAGGGAAGGCTCGCTCTTTACTAGCTTGGCTCAGAGGGTGGAGGGACCAGGCTCACAGACTCAGAATTTGCAGGTTTCTGGATTCGGCCTTTCTGTATGGCTGGCAATGCTCTCCGTGCCCTGGGCCCTGGCAGAAGAGTGCTTCTTACCAGGCTCAGGGATGATTGGTGAAGGGGGAGCAGGGGGCACAGCGGTGGGGGCTTTGTTCCCTAAATACCACTCACATGACTCTGACCTCAGAGTCCTTCCCCTTTCTCTTGTCTTTTTCTCCTCCACTGCCTTTGGCCCTGCTTCAGTTTCCCTTCTCTATTTTCCTTTTCTCAATCTACACAAAGCCCTCAGAGGCCTGGAGTTGCCCTGGGGCCTCCTGCCTCTTGTGAGGTTGGTTTCCGGTTCCTGGACTGCAGACCTGGGGCTGTCAGCCCTGGAGGGGCCCGGGAAGGCCTCGGGGGGCCTGGTTGGGAGCAGGCAGGCCAATGAGCCAGCACCCCAAGGCTGGCCCTGCACCCGGCATCCCGCGGCGGGGGCGGGGGGGGGTGGCGAGCCTCAGTATCTGATGGCGCCCCTGGTGCAGGCCACCGCCCCTCCCCACCCATCCATGACAGACAGGCCTTGCTCTACAGACAGGCCTTACTCATCGCACAGCCCATCCCACTGGCCTCAAGTCCTTCTCAGTGAAGAAGGCGGCACCCAGATGTGGCACTCTGGCTTAGAGCTTCATCTTTAGTTTCTAGAATCTTTTCCCACAATGCTTCTGAACCCTGTCTGCTCATTCAGAATCACCTGGGTAACTTCCCAAACAGAAAGATGACCAGGCCCCAAGCTAAGGCTCTGGTTTCTTTGGTCCGAAGCGTAGGCTGGGGTGGATAGGGGGGAGTCTCCCCAGGTGATTCCCATCAGGCATCAGGAGTGAGAGCCTCTCTTTGACTGAGGGCCGAGTGTCACAGAGAGAACACGGAATGCAGTTTAGGAAGCCTGTGCTTTAGTCAGACCACCCTCAGCGAGACATGTGTCCCTGGGCACAGCTGTCTGTCTGCCGTCACTGGCACCCTAAGGAGAAATTGACCAATTTGTGGAATTTCAGACTTGGAAGGGGCCCTGAAGGTCAACCAATCCATGCATCGCTTGTTCTCCAAACGAGAGGACTGTGCCCGGAGGGAGTAAGTGGAGTGCCCAGGGTCCCAGGGGGCTTGAGCAGGGTCAGGAAACCAGCCCAGCTTGGGGCAGTCTCCTCCCCCTGGCTACTCTCAGCGGGGCCCCTCTCCGGGAGTTCTCTCTAGATGAGATTGCTGGGGAGATTGTGTCTCTGGGAGCAGTTCTGGAGGGGGTCTGGTCTCCCCACTGTTTCCTGGAGGAGGAGACGGGCCTTCCGAGCCTTGGGGGGGGGGAGGGGAAAGCACTGGCTAGAACCAGCGGGCGTTGCTCTCAGCCAAACTTTGCAAGAGAACTTGCAGAGACACTGACTTTTTGCAGCTGTTTTATGAGGTCTGTGGACTGAAAAGGGAAGTTTGGCTGCATTTAGAAAGTTGTCCACAAAGAGGAATGGCGGGGGCAGGGGTGGGGAGGGTGGCGGGTTGCGCGGAGCTGGAGGAAGAAGCTGGGCGATCCGGGAGAGATGCCAGCAGGGGCCTGAGGACAAGGGTTTGATTTGGGCCCACACGTTGTCACTTTGGAAGCTCTTGGGGTTGGGAGGTGGGGCTGGGGGAAAGTGCAGCGGAGAGGAAAGGAGAAGAAAGGGAGAAGGGGGAGGGCAGGAGTTCCCAGCCTGGGAGCCTAGCTTTTTCTTGGATTGGAAGCAAACATGGAGGGTGCTGGGAGCATGGCCAGTTCTGCCCCAAAGGCCCAGCCAGTGGTTTCCTCTAGAGGGGCCCAGGGACACGGTGGGAGGTGCTGAGAGAGGAAGAAGCTTTGTCAGGATGGCGCAGCCCACAGGAGGGGCATGTTAAAGGAGGAACTTCCCCTTCCCCCAAGGTGCTCAGAGGTTTCTCCGGGCAGCCTGAAATGTCCCATCCTTCAAGGCCAGAAAGGCATCCAACTTCTCCCTGGACCGACCTGGGGCCCAGGCTCCAAGGTGGCAGCAGGAAGGATACTGCCCTAGGCTCCGGAGGCCTGGATGGTTTCCGAGGGCCTGGCTGAAGATCCCCACGCCTCACTTTCCTGTCCCCGCTGGCACCCGGGAGGAGCCGTCCCACTGCCCTGTAACTAGTGCCCCGGCCCCAAGCCCCAGGAAAGACAATGGCACTCCTGATGACTATGTGGTCACACTCCCCCTGCCCCTCCCAGAGTCTCTGGCACTGGGAGGGTGCTGCAGTCTGCTGCCCCCAAGCCCAACCTTGTCCATGTCTGTGTACGTGGGAGCAGAGTGAGGGGCTGGAGGTGGGGGGACCGTAACCTTGACCTGGAGCTCTCTCGCAGAAGATCCTGCCCTCACCAGACATGTGCCTCGCAGAGCTTCTCCTCCCAAGGCCGCCCCACTCCAGAGGACCACGACAAGAGACTCTGAGAGGCAGAGCCCCTCTCTCCTGACACTGACCACGCCACCCTGGCCGCAGAGGCGGTGCTGCTGTCTTTCTCAGGGACGTGGTAGAATGGGCATCCAGAGGGATCCACTCTGAGGATGGGCAGAGAGGGAAGGCCCGCACTGGTTCTGCCTCAGTGGCTGAGCACCTGAGGCCAGAAGAACACCTCTCAGAAGAGACTGCTTAGTGTGTCCTGGCAAAGAAAGCAACTTGACTCAACTCAACTCAACAAGACTTCCATTCATTCTGTTATTCAGTGAGTCTTTACCGAGTTCCTACTATGTGCCAAGTGCTGTGTTAAGTGCTGGGGATGTAGAAGGCAACACACCACACTTAGTCCCTGGTGGAGGCGCTTGAGGGCTCTGTGCGTCTGTGTCTCCACTGTATCCGTGAGGGTGGCCATGGTGCCGGGGCGGGGGGAGGCAAAGCCCTTACTCCTGTGGTCTCACTGGGGAGACAAGATGCACGTACATGAAACACTCGGAGGACGAGATGAAGTTTAAATAAATACATTATCCCCTCTGGTAACCACACGTTGAAGTGAACATGACCAGGTTCAGGCTATGCTGGTCTATAAGTGCTGTGGGTGGACCTGATGGGGCAGCCCCACTGGGTCTGGCTTACTCTCCAAGCTTCTTGGAAGGATCTGATTAGGTGGGCCTGACTATCAACCTTGAAAAAAGTCATCGGTTCTGCCATGAGTGTATTGGACTGGAAAAATCTATATAGATCCTACCATCTTTCTTGGTTCCTTCTTCCCATTTCCCCCCCTCTCCTTCTCCTTCCTCCATCTCACTCAGAGCCAGAAAACTTCCATGGCCAATGACTGGATGGCAGGTTTGGTCGAACGCCTTCTGTTTACAAAGCAGTGTTAGCTGCAGTAGGTTTATAGAGATAAACAACATGGACCTTATCCTTAAGGACCTTCAAACCAGCTTGGGGTCACAAGTTGCTATAATAGGAGATAGTGAAAGATGTATGTGGGGACTGCAAACAACAGGAAAATTGAGTCTCATCCCTGGCATAGGATTTGGAATATCGATTCTGTGTTATTTGTGTGTGTGTGTGTGGGGGGTATGCTGTCTACTGTTTGTTGTTTGTTTTTATCTCAAACTTCAGAAAAATTATAAGAACATTAATGGGTAATTTCTGTAAGCCCTTTCCCAAGATTCACCAGTTGTTTACATTTGATGGAATCATTTGAGAACAAGTTAGAGACATTTTGCTCTTTTACCACTAAACACTTCAGTGTGTATTTCAAGGACATTGTTTTTTACGTCGTCTGGTTTCCTCATAGCTGAGCCTTCTTCCTCTCATTTTCAGACAGTATTGGATCACTCTGTCCCCTACATAAAGCTTATTTAATGGGAGACAACTAGCTTGATCTTCCGCTTGACACCATGCTGGTGGCTGGGCCATTGGGGGCTGTTGGGTCCTAGGGTTTCCCGGGGAATCTCTGCTGGCCTCAGCGGCTGTGCCTGAGTCGGTTTGCTACCAGGCAGCCAAGCTGCCCCCTTAGAGGCCTGGCCAGGCCTTGGCCGAACTCTCTGCTCTCTTTCCCTCCACTTCGTTCTTGACTTTGCTGCACATTCTCCCGCCCACAGATACGAACGTCGCATGATGTTGACTTTCCAGTGTCCAGCACGGCCTGGTGGAAGCGGAGTGAGCTTGTTTGGACACTTTCTCTGGGCCTTGGAGGCCAGCCCGGGCTCCTCTGCAAACCCAGGAGGCTTCCTTTCCCTGACTCGCAAGAGGAGTGAGGTGCTGCGGCACAGTCTGGCTCCAAGGCCTGTGGTCCCGCTCAGGACCGGCAGTCTTAGGCCGAGGGAACATCTTCCAGAGTATGGCTGAGGGACAGAATGTCTCCACGAGATGGGCTGGGATGGGCAGGGTTGTGGAAAGGCCCCTGCTTGTTCTGGGAGGTGTTCAGGACGCTGAGGTTTTGGAAATCCACGGTGGCTGTTCACGACTGCTCCCAGCTTTGGGAGGAGGAACGAATGGGTGCCCGTTTCCTTGGGTTCAGTGGCCAAGGTGAAGCCCAGGACTGACTGCTGATCCCTCGGCTGGGCCTGAGGAGGGTGCTGGGCTTTGAAGGGGAACACAGCCTAGAGGACTGGACCTTGGAGTCATGAGTTGCTGTCCACATACAGTGAGCCTTGCCTGGAGGTCTTTCAGCACTGGCCAGGACACAAACCCAAAGTGATCTCCGGGCTGTACTCAGGGGTGCCTCTGATGGAGCAGGTACGAGAAACCCCAGGGAACCCATGAGACAGAACATACTGGAGGAATTTAACTAGGCAGATCAATCTCGTGCAAAGAAAGGCCAAGGGAAGGGAGAGCACAGAGCAGGCCTGAGCCGTCAAGAAACGCTCTGGGGAGGAAGGGAAGCCTCCTTTCGGCAGCCTCTCCCTCTGTTTTGCTCTTGCACACAACCACGCAGGGTCCTGTCCCAGCTCCGTTCGGTCACCTTGGACAGGTCGATTTACGTTCTGGGGCCTGTTTCCTCCTCTGTGAAATAGGAAGTGGGCCACCTGAGTCATCTCCCTGGGGCAGTGAGTACTGAGAGGTAATCCAGCGGAGTCGGTGGGTTGCAGGGGAGGTTGGAGAGCTTATGAAAATACAGATGCCTGGGCCCCAGCCCAGACTTTGGGAGCCGATTCTCTGGGGGTGAGGCCCAGGTCTAGATAGGTTTCCTTTTGAACAAGCTCCCCAGGTGGTCTTTGGATCAGAAGCCCGGTGACTGTGGGGTCTTTGCATCCTCAGCCCCGGATTAAACCGCAGGCCAACTGGATCCACACTCAGGCCTTTATTCCTTGATGTATTTTCCCTGGTGTCGGGCAGAGTGGGGTACAGGTGGGGGCACCCTGGCTTTCCCACCTGGCAGTCCGTCGGACCCTCCCATCTGGGAGCTGAGCCGAGGTCCTGGCGGCCTGAATGCATCCCCTCTCTCCTTCCCTAAGAACGACCTCAATGCCTCCCATTACCATCTCCATGGCACTGGCCTCCAGGGCCCCATGGAAATCACGAGGCTTTCTGAGGAGTCTTGCAGACTTCAGAAAAGACCCCGGGCCCCCTGCCCACCCCGGGCTCCCTGGCCCTCTAAATCCCGCTCGGAGCGCGGACACAGAGCTCCCTCTCTCCTCGGCGGCCTGGCCGCTCATTCTCCCACAGAGCTGACGTTTCTCTGCGGCCCAGCTGGCTGCAGTTTTTAGAAATAACAATATCCCCGGGGGGGGGAGGAGCGGCGGGGTGAATGGGCGCCTTTGTCCGGGGCCCTGTGAAGCCCGATTAATTATGCGCTGCGGAGCGCGGGGAGCTCGGCGGCCCGGCCCCCCGGCGGCTGAAAGGCCCCGGCTTGGGAGCGCGGCCGCCGGCTCTGCGCCGCCGCACAAAGGGCCGCGAATTAGAAAACCGCCAATTACCCCGCATTTTGTATTTGCCCTTGTTTCGCTGACACTGTGGACGGCCCCTCCCCGGGCGGCTGCACTTTGAGGGTTTTCCAGCCCTTTCTCGGTTACCAGGGGCGACTGGGCAGAGGGCTGGGGGGGCTTGGGGAGAGCGGGAGGCGCCAAGCGCCGGGTGGGATCGTGTGCGGTGGGGACTTCGGGCGGGAGACAAGCGTGTGGGTATCGCCCCCGGGGACGTGGGTCTCAAATCTCACGCTCTTGCCAAAGCCTGAGCCTGTTCATAATGCAGATCCCCGGGCCCCGTTGACTCAGGAGGACGGGATTGCTCAGGAAGCTGTATTTTAACAGGCAGTCAGGATGATTATATTTTTTAAAAATTAAAGTATAACAGTGACATGCAGATTATTTTTTGACAATATAATTGCTTTTTTTTTAAACCTAAAGTCTTTTTTTAAAATTAATTAATTTATTTTTGGCTGCGTTGGGTCTTCATTGCTGCGCACGGGCTTTCTCTCGTTGCAGTGAGCGGGAGATACTCCGTTGCAGTGCGTAGGCTTCTCATTGCTGTGGTTTCTCTTGTTGCGGAGCATGGGCTCTAGGCGTGCAGGCTTCAGTAGTTGTGGCGCACGGGCTCAGTTGCTCCGCGGCATGTGAGATCTTCCTTGACGAGGGTTCGAACCCGTGTCCCCTGCATTGGCAGGCGGATTCTTAACCACTGCGCTACCAGGGACATCCAATATAATTTATTCTATAAAATTGTAGTATGATAGTGTTGCACATGCATAGATATTAAGTATACAGTTCCATGGACTTTGACAAATATATACATCTGTGTTACCTACATTCCATCAAGATTTAGAACAATTCTGTCGCTCCAAAAACTCCCGTGGATCTTCTTTCCAGTCTCCCCACCCCACCCTCCAGCCCCCAGGCAGCCCTGTTCATCATCTGTTCCATTTCGTCTGTTTTTGGACTTCCTTATAAATGGAGTCATACAGTATCCACTTTTTTGTCTCTGATTTCTCTCATTCAACATAATGTGTTTGAGATCCACCCATGTAACAGTAGTTTGTTTCTTTTTATTAAACACTGTTTATCTGTTCACCTGTTGATGGACGCCTGGACTGTTTCCAATTTTTGATTGTTATACATAAAGCTGCTATGATCATTTTGCACAAGTCTTTTTTGCAGACATATGTTTCAATATCTTTTAAGAGTGGAATTGCTGGCTCATAAGGAAGGTATTAAGTTTAGCAGACACTGCCAAACTTTTCTAAAGTGCGTATACGATCTTGCATCCCCACCAGCGATGCATGAGAGTTCCGGTTGCTCTTCTTTGTCAGCACTTAATATTGTCAATCTTTTTGATTTTAGACATGCTAGTGGGTGTCAGGTGATTTTAATAGCTGAGCTCCAATGACTGTACTTGAAGAAAACACCTGTCTAGTGTAATTCTTGCATTTGCCTGCAAAGTCCAGCAGGGTAAATGGTCTCCCCAAGGGTGACAGATGAGTGGGCAGAGATGGGATGAGAACACAGGGCTCCTGACTATCAGACAAGTGCTGTCTCCTTGTTATCTTTGAGGTGATACTGCTACAACTCGTGTGTGTGTGTGTGTGTGTGTCTGTGTCTCTCTCTGTGTGTGTGTGTGTGTGAAGTGTGGGTTTTGCTCTGCCCAGGACCATTCAGAGTGGACCTGGAAGGACACTTCTGAAGAGTCCCTGCCTGCCACCCAAGCAGCAGCATCTGTATCTCTCTGGGGTCAAGAGATTGGGCTTGACCAGGTAGGTGTGGACACACGCACACACAGGGACAAGGGTAGGGGCTGGTGGCTGGCTACCTTGACTCTTACTCAGAGGGCACAGACCAATTCTGAGAGTCCCTCTGCTCAGCTAGCCATAGACGGAGGGTCTTAGATATTTTCTCATCAAGCACAGAGGAGGTGCTGGGTGATGGGAATGAGGGAGCGGGAGTCCCGGGGCTTCCAAGGTCCTCCTTTGCCTATAAGCATTCTCCTAAATAGGCTTTTAAGGCTCTCCAGAACCTGCCGTGACCTATCCTTATAGTCTTGTATCTGTCTGCCTCTGTCTGCGTATTGTACTCCAGCAGTAATGGACGCCTGTCCATCCACTGTTGTCTCTCTACCTTACCTAACAATGTAGGTAGGATTGGGGACGGTATTGTCCAAGGGTAGCCTCACTAAAATAAATATCCCCCCCACCATCCTGTTCTTGCAATGTAACTGACACTCCTCCCACTGAGAGGTGGGGTCTACATTTCCTCCCACTGAATCTGGGCAGGGGCTTGTGACTGCTCTGGCCCATAGAGTTTAGCAGAAGTGATGATTTTGGGTACTAAGTCATATAAAGGACATAACTTCCACCCTGCTCTCTCTCTTTTTTTGGGATTCTTCCCCTAGTAACCCAGCCTAGGGAGGGACTGGGGTGGTGCACAAGGATCAGAGGAATAAACGAATAAAACAAGAGAGGGCCTTGCATGGAAGGAACAGTGATGGGAATGCCATGGAGAATAATTGACTCAACTGCACCTGAGGGCCAAACAAAAATCAAAAGCAAAATCACTCTTGGAAAAAAAAAAAATCACTCTTGGCAATGACGCTACCGACTTTTTTTCCCTATCAATAATTATTTTAACTTTTTTATATTTATTTTTTCCAGAAGTATATGACATTTGTTTTTGTCTACTTGCAAAACAGCATATTCATATTCATATTCAACTGATATGAAGAGTTCAACAGAAACGTTTGATGGAAGGGAACCCATGTCTGTGACAGACCATCTCTGAGGACAGATGTCCTGAGTTTAGATATATTCCTCCATTTCTTTCTTTTTATTTTCTTCCAGTTTTATAGAGCTATAATTGATGTATGCTACTGTATACGTTTGCATAAAGCTTACATGTAAGTACAGCACAATGATTTGACTTCCGTACCTCATGAAATGATTAGCGCGATAAGTTTAGTGAATGGACATCATCTCATATAGATACAAAATTAAAGCTACTACAGACTTTAGGATGACACCCATATCTGTAGGCAGAGGGGAGAAAGGATAGGAGGCAGGGATGTAGCTGTTAAATGTTTTATTTCTTTAAAAAGATAAGGAAATCTGAAGCAATATGGCAAACCGTTGACATCTGTTGAAACTGGGGAGCGGCTACATGGGGTTCTGTTAGATTATTTTTTAATGTATAATAATTAAAAAAAATATTTTGAGAGGTTGCTCATCAGGACACTGCAAACTAGTTTTGTGACTTTTGCCAGAACTCATTTCTGGTTGTAGATTGGCCTCTGAGTAGTTTCTGGAGCCACGTGCCTCAAGTCTGTCAGGGACACAAGTCCCAACAAGGAGCAGAATATAAAGAGTCAACTTTCCATTGACGCTAAAAGCACTCATAAATAAGACCTTTGGTAAATGGAGAATGTCGTTGCCTGCTGCATATAGAGTGAAATCAAATGGCTGAACAGCCACAAGAATCTTTTCTTTTTTTTGCGGTGCGGGCCTCTCACTGCTGTGGCCTCTCCCGTCGCGGAGCACAGGCTCAGCGGCCATGGCTCACGGGCCCAGCCGCTCCACGGCACGTGGGATCTTCCTGGACCAGGGCATGAACCTGTGCCCCCTGCATCGGCAGGCGGACTCTCAACCACTGCGCCACCAGGGAAGCCCAAGAATCTTTTTTTTTTTTGACTGGTGGATCAGGTCAGCCTCTCAGGACTTCATGGGAAGATCATTGATTAGCTATCGGCCTTCCTGGGGATGACCAATACTAGACAATTGTACGGAACTGCTGTAGGGAACTCTTGGAGGGCTGCACAGCTCACACTTAGGGCCTGGGCTCTGGGCACCACTCTGATACTCATGGTGAGGGGCTCAGCAGTTGAATCTATGGTATAAGTTCTATACTAGGTGACTCTTCTCCACCCTGTTCCCCCACAATAGCTGATGGGTATGGAGGGATTAGCTGAATCAAGCTGGGCCAGTCCGATTCTTTCAATCTCAAGATTGAAAGATTCTTTTTCTCAAGATTCTGGATTTTGGGGAAGCTGTTGGAATGGGGCTGCTTTAATGGAAGTGTTCCAGGGAGGAGGTTCATTGACTCCAGCTGCTTAAGTCCTTGGAATAGCCCTGGCTCTGGCCTTTCTCAGGGCTCATTTGTTCATCCCTTTCTTGAAATTTAATAAGTTTATTATTGTTATTTGCCAGCACTGATTTCTGTTACTTGTCCTAAGGAGTAGATGAATGTAATGTTTTATTATATCTTCCAGCCTTCCCCTAGTGCTGCCGCCGGTATATGTGGTATTTTTGTTGAGTTAGAAAAAGGTGCCTCTTTGGGTGGACAAATTAGAAAAAGCTCTTTTTCCCTCCAGGCAGACACAGTCCCTCACCCGGGTGGACGGTTTGGCCAGTGGAATGTGGGGTTGGGTTTCAGGCCCCATTCCACTCATTTCCTTGGCCAGACCCCTTTGTGCAGTGCACAGACCACATAACCGTTCATGGCAGCCCTGCCTGACCAACATTTGTTTCCTGGCTGATTTGTCCTCTGCGTCAAGGTGTCATTCAGAATATGAAACATTATTCCAGACAAGATTTACTAGAAATGTTGGTCTATTGTGCAAACCCTATTCAGGACTGTAATGCTCATGGCAAAAATGTCATTTGTAGTCTTTGAAATCTGTTCAAAGTCAAGCCTTAAAGGAAATTTAGGAAAACACAGCCTGGTAAAAAAAAGCCTCATCTTCTGATGCATAATCTGCAGGCTTTAGAGGAAGTTTTCCATCAAACGGTCTGGCAGACATTCTTGAAATGTCAAAGGACACGACTCTTTCCCCCACGTCAACACACTAGTGAGAAGGTGAAAGCAGGTGCATAGGAGGGAGTTGACAAGGTGTCTCAGGCCATGGTGAAAGTGACATGGAAACCACAACCAAGGCACTGATGGCCAAGGGGATGGAAATGATCTCAGGGAGGAGAAAATGCCTCGAGAGGCGGCTGCTCCAATTCTGATTCTCTAATTCAGTTTCCTGCAGGTAATGTGAGTCCCACCACCTTTCTGAGAGAAAGCTGAGTGTAGAAAATCAAGTCAGGAGCTTTCCCAAGACAGGGGACCCACCTACCCTTACATCATGTACCATCTACCCCTGTGTCCATAAATAGAGGAGGCAGTGAGGACTAGCAAGCAGTTAAGGTTGTGAGTCTAGAACCAGGATGCCTGGGTTCAAATCTCAACTCTGTCACTTTCCAGATGTGTGACCTTGGACGTGTCACTTAACTTCTTGTGATGGTTTGAAAACATGCCCACCATCCTTTTACTCTCCTCCCATACGAATTGGAGGCTTTTGTCCCTTCCCCTCAAACGT